TCATGATATATGAATTCAAAAATCCAAATCCCATTTAGTAATGAAACGGTATTATTTTAAAAATAAATGCAAATGGACTCGGTCCCATAGCGGACAGACAATGAGGCTGAACTGCTGAAGCGCAACAAAATTATGTTTGGGGAACAAACCGCATTCCATAGTTTTATGTTCTCTGTAAAAATTTTACTTTATGCATCCATGTGGAATTCAATCTGTAGGAAAATGGGATTTTTTTTTCATGGAAAAAAAACATTTTTCAAAATTCTTTTGGAAGTATGATGGAAGGATGGCTTATACTAATTGATCAGTTGATGGCATTAAAAGAGAGGCGAAAGATACCAAAGGGTCGTTCAAACCCATAAATCGAAAATAAACGGACAACGCCATGGCAAAAAAAGAAAAATACCAAAAGACAAACAACAGTATACAAAACACAACATTGAAACTAAAGACTAAGCAACAGGAACCCCACCAAAAAACCGGAAATGATCTCAGGTGCTCCGGAAGGGTGAGCAGATCCTGCTCCACATGTGGCACCCGTCGTATAATTACAAACCCGATGATAAGTCTAATTCGGTAGGTCACATTCGGGGAAAAGGGGAACGGGATTGTGGTTATGACGATTGGAACATATCCGTCGTCATCTGTGAAACAGATATTTCATAACGGTCAACCAACTCGTGATGGCGTCCGTGATATGTTCGAAGGAATGGTTTCAACTTCACCACTTGGAACTCTTTGTTAAATAGCTTCCTTGTGAGCAGCAATTGCAACCCTCTATCATGGAAATCATGATAAGAAACGCAAGCCCTAGAATATCATATCAACTCGAAGATATATACTCCGTATGCAGGCGATGCTGGAATGTTGCTACATAGAAATGGAAAGTTCACAATTGGGAAGCTGAAATCATCTCTATTGTCGTATATTTTGTTCACAACCGACCCTTATTGTCAATTTCTAGAACTGTCAGTATGTGTGGTTATAATTGTTATTGCTGGAAAGGAAGGGTGTAAACATACACTGTGGAAACTATTGCCCACATATATTTACTGCAAGTTAACTTAGGCTATATTTAATTTAATCATGGACTAAAAATGGTTAGGAAGTATGATGGAAGGAGTGCTTAATGATAAACTTGATTAGTTTAATCTGTGTGGTTATATTTGTTATTGTTGGGGGGAGGGAGTATACATAAAAGAAAATCAATTGTGGAAATGATTGCCCACAAATATTGACTTAACCTGTGTTATACATGTATTTAAATTAATGTATAATTTAGGGATGTCAACTCGGTGAAGATTTACTAATCGAGTACTCGTTGGATTTACCGAGCGATACTCGAGTACTCGCTCGGAAAAACATCTACAAAATGGAAACACAAAATTACACCCATTTTACGTATTGTGGGACGTTGTTTTATGGACATAAAACCCTCAACATTATTACCCAGGACTAGATAATAGTCCAAAGAATTTTAAACCACAATTAATAGCTCATTTACTACATGTACTAATTATGTAAATTGGCAATAATCTAATCAATTAACTAATAAACATCTATAGAAAAACGATTACTCAAACAATAGTATTTGGTAATCGTAAAAAACACATTTAATGACAAACAAAGAGGTGATGATTAGAACTTGCTGATGCCTTTCACCATTTTCTGAGGCTCGACACAGGGTGCAACGAATTTGTTCTTATTTAGAAATATTATCTTGTCAACTTTTTCTGTGACGAATCGATTTCTCAACATTGTTACGTAACCAACAGTCCTGTTGATGAAAATATTTCATGATGGTACAGAGGAGGTGGAATGACTAATACACGATTAGCAAAAAGTGTAAGCCTTGGAAAAGTGCCCTTGTTCATAGCCTACCTATGTTCGGAGGAATTTTAAATGACAATTAAACGCAAACATTCGAAACGTATTATAATTTTGATAAATATTTAATTTCCTGGTAGGCGCTCTTAATAAAAATATCATTTCTCTGAGAAGGCAAAATATTCTAACAGGAAACCGATTAGTCGAGTATAATTTTGGTATTCGATACTCGGTACTACAGAGCGATACTCGAGTACTCGAGTACTCGTTGACATCCCTAATTTATATGGAGTAAAATTTGCAACAGATAAAGTGACCTATTGAACGCTCACAATCATTTTTATTTTTTGCCAACAGTAATTTGCCGTGCAATGTTCAAATCTCATAAATTTAATATAGGAAGGTACAAATCAAGGTTACAAACAAAAACTGAGGAAATCGCATGAGCGAGACCGAGTTCGTCGACAGGGAACATAAATACTATGTGTCTTTCCAAAGTCAGGAGCTTGTTATATTAGATTTAATACATAATAACCTCGACCATTTGTTGGTAGAGGTGAGGAGCTGGGACATTGTAAACCTGAGATAGTAATACATACAATACATAGAAAGTATCCACGATCCAGTAAATACTTTTTTTGTGATAAAGATCAACGTTACCAGACTTTTGTAACTAGACATGGAAAAGTCATTGTCGAATTATTTTATTTCAAAGACAAGGCTTTATTGATACAATTCTTTAAGTGTTATGAATACTAATTGATTTAAGATATAGGTTCGATATGAAAGCACCTGCTAGAATTCCAATCTTAAATCGAATGTTGATAAAATTCAGCAAAATCATGTTGATAAATGGGGAAAGCAATCGACTCTTTAACCTTGTCATAATAAACCATAAGGTGTATTTAGATTTTCCCTTTAGAATTGGTTAATACTACCTTCGTTCCACGTTTGTTTACCTTTTCTTCCATCACATGTTTTTCTTTCACACTTGAGCTATGCGATGGCCAAATTTCTAACGAGGTGTCATGTTTAAGGTCACTGCATACGGAAAAGCTGTCAGCGAATTAGAGTACAGGAAGACAATAATTTAAAAGTAATACGTGCTGAAGATTTTGATAAATTGAAGGATTTTTTTTTTATAAGATAATACATGACATGTGTTTTATAGTAACACTTAGCCATTCAAGTATACCACACATTTTCATCTTTTTTGTTATATGGGAAGTAGCAAATGACTTTCAGAAAATAAAAATCTTAAGCAAGTATGTCTAATTAGTTAAAGAATTTGAGACTTGTTTTTTCGATGTTTAACATATATTCAACATTAAATACGATATCAATTATACCTATGATACCGATTTGTATGCCAAATTGGTAATTTTTGTATTAACTTTGTCGTTTTCAAGTATATCTTCACTATCAGCACAACTACCCCCAAAACCATTTGATATTGACTAGGTCAAATGAATCATAATATATTAGCATGAATATAAGCCAATGAAATTTGGTCTGCTTTTAACAAAGTTTTATTCTTATTGATACTTTTAAAATTTTATAAGGATCTATAAAAGAGGGACAAAAGATACCAGAGGGACAGTCAATGTAACTTTACAGCTTCATGCAAATGTTAGAACTATTCCAATTCTCAACCAGAACAAATGTATGCCACGATTGGTTTTTAGAAAAAAAATCATCATGTTTTCACTTTTATGTTGATTTTAAGTGGAATAGTGGATCAGGAAAGCAGACACCAATACAAATTTAGCATTGCATGCTTTCAATGCACCGTATGAGGGATTTCCTCCCTGCGTTGAAGATTCATTGATGGCCTTGGTATGTTTTCTACTCTTTGGTCGGGTTGTTGTCTCTTTGACACATTACCCGTTTCCATTCCCAATTCTATTTCAAACAATAACAAAGAAATCATAAGTCAGTGAAACTAAATACCACAAATATAAGCTGGCAGATACTCAACAAAAACATCCATTTTAAACATACCAACGATCTAGTATATCAACATATTTCAATAACTGTGATTACTCTTAGATCTGTACTTTTTCAAGATACTGTACTTAAGTGGTTTTCGTTGGTTGCACGTTTGTTTTTCGTTACTAGTAATTGTTTTAGCATAAATTAGGTTGTTAGTTTTCTCGCTTGAATTGTTTTACATTTTGTCATATTGGGGTCTTTAACAGCTGACTATACGGTATGGGTTTTCTTCATTATTGAAGGTCAAAATCATTCATAGAAAAGGTTGGGGCAGCATAAGGTGAACTTATGAGATTTACGTGTAAACATAACGTTGTTTTTGGCAAATTTAACAGTTGCCGATTTAGCATTACGATATTTCGCCAACTTATGGCATAAGCATAACATCTTCTGTTTTTCATACGGTACTTGTATTTAATCCGACGTTTCATTAGTAACTGCTATATTCCTGTTTCATATTGGTAAGTCTGTGTCAAGACGGATTACATTGTGCTTGTTTTCTATTTAATCCTATATTTATGTATGTATTAACAGTAATACACAAAATAAACCTTAAACGTTAGCAACCTATTTTCTTACACGCAATAATAAGTGTGCTTCGTCATATAAAAAGGAAATTTCAAACTGTCAAAACAAATCTAAACTAAGCATCAAAATATATAAGTAAATACTTTAACACACAAACACAAATACCAAAAACTGTTAAAAACATATTTATTATACTTCTATTTATTGTATTAATTTAATATTGATATAATTTCTATTTCCTAAAAATAGTTTAGTTATTATTTTGTAAAAAATACTGGCAAAGGTATTTAAGCATTAATTAAATTTATCTAAAAACTATTGTTGTCCAAATAATGACAACAATTATAACATTTAATTTCAGCAATCAGCAAAGAAACACTCTGATTGTAGTGAACATATATCCAACACCACATAATACCACCAATAAAAATAAAATTACCCATCAACCCAACTCTCAAAAGGGACAATTGTAAAACATGCTACAATGCCCACGTGGACAGACTTCCAGTACTTTTTTTATGCATTTGAAATACACTATGCAAATGCTAGAAACTCACCATGTATCCATCAAATTACAGCATAGAATAACATTGACAGAATTGTGTTAGAATTGAATGAATTGCAGGCTCATTTTACAAATACTGAAGTCAATACCATTTGAAAATCAGTTTATTTCATCAAATGCAAGTCATGAAATTTAACAAATGCACAACAAAATGGAACAAACAATGATATAACGTGATTAAACAATTAACATATAAAAACTCGTGGGTAACACTTCCCAAATAAATACATGATATGAGGTGAATCACAATCATACAAAGCATATTATAGTATACAAAGTGCTCTCTCACAATATTTCATATTTTATGAGAATTGGTTAAAGCATGTAAGTCTAAAGTGAGCAAATGTGACACATTTTACAGTAAGTACAATTATATACCACACTGATCATCTACAAGTTGTTTAGGCAGTTAAAATTTTCAATTTCTCATTTTTTATTACAAATGAAAAAATATTAATTTTTACACCATTTTACACCTATTGATAAGTTCTACATTTATTAGTTTAACAGGACAGATCTCTTCTTCATAGCATCTCTCCGATTGCCATTTTACCTGACTTCAATTTTATAAGGATATTTGGTGATGTCATTCTAGTCCATCTGAAGATAATTTAAAGAAAAGAAAAGAGAAAAAAACTAAGTTGTTTCTGCTCTTAAAACCAGTTGGGCCACAACACCACAATGTGTTGAAATTTAATTGTGAATAGTCAACTGAAATGAGCAGGGTATAATATTGATTTCAGTGTGCACAATATGTTTTTGGAATAGTCTTCAACCTGTGTCTTCAGATGCACAAGATTGACAATTAAAAATAGAATTGACCAGTGGCAAGAACATTAGTTAACTACCATAAGTTTTGGTGTAACATATGATGAACACAAACAACTGTACCATGTTTCATTTTCACTTTTCTTAACACGTACACCAACATTTGAAATTCTTCATCAATAATTAAGTATTTATCATTAATATATATATATATATAGCTCCACATACACACCTATAAACACATAAATTAAGGCATGTAGTATCGATAAGTAATAACATAAACAGCAAGAAAGTTTATCACAATGTTTTTGATGTAGCTTATTTTTTTAGAAAAAATTAGAAATAATATGATGCATCAATACACTCATTTTTATATTTTTCCATATTCAAATTAAAATAATTGTTTGAATTATGTAGTTCTCTTTATACTATTTATATGCAATGTTCTACATCTGAATCTGTCCCTAGTCTATGTTCCAACTAGAGTAAAACAAGAGCAAATCATATACTTGTTTAATTTTAAATAAACCAGAACAGACTATCAATCCATAGTGGTAATCATCTACGAAGTCACTATAACTTTAATATATAACATTAGTCATGTTTAACAATATTTACAATGTGCACAAAATTAAGACCATCTTAGATGATCTAGTTATCAAGGATACCTCTGCTTGCAGAAAAAAAAACTATCTAACTGTAAATCCAAAATCAAAATTCAAATCGATTGTGACCTGTATATTTTATGTTTCATAACAATGTGTTTAAAAATGTATACAGATTTTGTCAAACAGCACTTTCATTGTCAACTGGAAACCAAATACATCAAAATTTTTAAATAACTAAGGGAAACAACTCTTGAACAGTAAATTTTAAAACCATCCAAATCGAACTTGACCTGTATTTTATGATCCATGACACTGCTAAAATTTCAAAAAGATGTGGTCAGGTGGTACCAAACAAGTGAGCTACAATGACACCCGATTAATTGAATACAATTGTAATCATTATACATGTATTTAATAAATCATTATTCAGGAATCTACTGCTTAGTTTCTTAAAAGATATCTTAGATATTAACAAAACTTGAGTTTTACCTGGTTGATTTGAAGGGAAAAAAAAACAAGGTACAAAAACAATTAGATTCATGCAAAAAATTAAGTTTACCGGTGATATATTATTTGATTGTATATTTGAGTAACATTATATACATATTAATGTACCAACAAATGCTGATATCTAATTTACAAAAATCATACAATATTCATGGGATCTCCCTCTTTATCTATATAAAGAAATGTAATTTGAATATCTATGACTGTGTAAAGCTAGAGGAAGTCATATCAAGTCTGACATAAATATTACTCTGATAAATCTATAGGCTTATTGTAATATGATCCAATGAAAAAATATCCATTGTTAACACACTTGCAACAAATTGGAAAGGAATAAAAAATAAAAGTACTAATGTCTTTTAACACTCACATTTGTCGTATTGATTCAGTGTGTTGTTTAATGACCATCAGAACATCTATATAGAGGATCCCATGTAAATAGAAATACAGGTACTCCATATTAGTTTGTAAATCAGCACCAAAGTAATGGGACTTCAGAACATTGCAAGAAATATGCCATTTATAATTTCAACTAACAAGGGTAGTTCTGTGATTTTTGGACTTGTTCATTGGACCTAAAAAAGTACCTAGCTAGTGGCCATATTTATGAGAAATTCCTTAAATTTTTCAATGCTTCCAAGATCCTGGTGATTATAAGAAATAAAAAATCAACACAACATCACAAAAAAGGTGGGTTAAATCCCTGAAGGAATATCTTTGCAAGTTTGAAATTAATATACTTACTAATTTATGAGAAGACCATGGTGTGAACTATGAAATGATGAAATGACATGGATTATATTCTGGAATGGATGTGGAATTGCAAAAAGAAATATACCTAGAATTTTTCCAGGACTGGATGACTTGAAATGAAATTCCAGGGTTTTTACTGTTATCAGGGAAGCATGTAAAACCTGTTATTAGCTTTACTGCAATTACTATGAATCAGCTCAAAGTTTTTGCTTTATGGATGGCTTCTCTAATGATAGTCAAAACAAACATAAAAATAAAACATTCTATTCAGATTGTCCATTTGCAAACCAAACATGTCCTGTGATGAACTATTTAAATGAATATATCACTCCTGTTTTAGTAGAAATAACTATTACTCTCAATATGTATCACATGGTACATTGTATAATTAAATTGGTGTGAATCTAAAAGAACTGTTAAAGACATGTAAGACATTAGTAGATAAAAATACAGTACATAAAATTAAAATGTTGTATTACATTCAAAAGAAATCCAAAGCATCAAGAACAAACAAAATACAAATCTTTCACCTGTTATAAAAAAACTAATTATATTTTGATAAGCTTAAAAACTAAAACAAAACCACAGGCTTAAGGTACGTAGCACTACAGTCTAACAATGATTTTTTGAAGATATTTTTTTTATCACATAATTTTGAAGTAAGTATTATTCTGCACAGTTTGTAAAAATCCCAAAGTCATTATAATATCACAACAGGGAGTAAATTGATAATGAACTTATGTAAATAAAAGCACATGTAATTAATCTAAATATATAGGCATTTGGGAGGGGCTAATATGTCAATCATCTGTTGATACCAGTGTCCAGCTGTTAATCCCTGACCACAAGATAAATATCTCATTGCATTGCAACAAAACTAATTTATAAAACATGGAAGTTTAGAACAGAGAAAAAAAAAAAGATATGAATAGGAAAACATTTAAAGGGAAAAAATCTACCAAAATGAAAAAAAAACTATGGAAAAGAGTGTGAAAGTATCTTTGAAAGCCTCTGACTGCCTGTATAAATTTCTCGTCTTTGGTCTTCTACATTTAAAAATAATTTTAGGCATTTTAACTAATTTTAAGTTTATGTGAAATTTTTTAATTCCATGAAACTCATAAATCATGTTGGACAGTCTATTTTCATGAAGGGGATGGTCTTGATCTTTTTATGGACATGTATTTTAATTTTAATATTTTAGCTAATTTCAGTCATCATGGTCATATTATATTTCTTTTTAAAATTCAAATGAAAAGTATTCTTTATAGTGAGAATAATGATGTTAAATATTAATTATGATGCAGCTGGCCAATCCTGTTATTCTCTTATCTTAGACTGTCTTTTCAGAGGCGGAGCTTTGTCTTTATTTTAAAATTACTACATCACAGATGTTGGTCAAATCTGTGACGTCAAACTCCCGCCAAATGCCAAGTTAGTGTTATACAGTGCACACAAAATGCAAATTTTACAGCAGTAGAGCATCAAAGACACAATGTGTGTGGTTCTATTGATAAAGTAATGGTGTCAGAACACTCCTGGGGTGTTCCCAGTGGAATTTTTGTATTTATGTGGCATTTATAGGGGTTCTTGAGAGGAAATTCAGTTTTAAGGTCATTTCTCAGAACAATTTTTCATGAGAATTGTAAGGAAAAAATGAAAAATAGAAACGTTATGGGTACCCCCTTTGGCTTGACTTTGATATATGTGATTGAAGGGAGTATTTTCTACAATACCGTGTCTCAGTTTTTGGATAATTTGTTTCTAAATGAACTTATAGGTCTCCAAAGATGAAAGGTGAAATGAGGTTTGGCATCCAGCAGTAAAAATAATATATCTTATTACTGGAGTCATATATCAAAAATCTGAGACACGGTTTTGTAGATTGTGAATGGTTGATTAAAGGGATGAAAACAAATTTTTACTACCATTTGACCTGAATGTGCCATTTTCATCCAAGTTGGAAGACCACTTTATTGGCAATTAATGAGCTATATTTTGAGATTAATCATACCAAAAATAAATTTATCTATAGATTAAGAAAGAGTTATATTTCAGCTTTAAAATGAATTAACGATTTTAAAAATCCATTGAGTAGTTTTGGAGAAATTAATCTTTAAAGACTGTTGGTTGGAGTCAGAAAATTCTGACTGTAGTGCTACCTTAAGACTAGAAACCTGCAACCTGATAAGCCCACAACCATGAATCTGTTGAAAGTTAAATTAGAATGCCTGTGAAAGTTGAAAATAGAAGATTATTATAAGATCAAACAATCAAAAATTATCTCTGACAGCCAAAAATTGAATGTGTCTGGAACAAAGTGAAAATTTTTATGAAAGACTTACAAGTTATAATCAATAACATTAAACCAAACTGAATGCAATTTATCATGAATGCCCATCAATATTGGTCCTTTTTTTAATACAAAATTTGGCACACTAAAATGTTTCACCTGCTGCAATATTTGAATTATTTTTATGATCAGTTTATGTTGAAGCTGAGGTCAAGGTCAAGGATATATTGCATGTATCAGGTAGACATATACCTGTTATAGTAAATCAACATACTAAATATTGTTGACTTGTATTATGCCTAATAGATGGAGCAGACAATAAAAAAACCAACTTTACTTGACCACCAGACTATAGAAATAAGGTTAAGGTAAGTGATAGTGACCTTATTTTGTCTGGATGCTGACCTATTTTTTCCAGGATGCATCCATGCAATATTTAATATATGATCTTATTAAGTATAACTAACTAGAAAATGACCTTGGTCATACAACTTTTTCCAACATTAATGACAGATTGATGGCTGTTTCATATCTAATGACAAATATCACATACTTTAGGACAATAAAATGTTAATAAGATAAGAATATATCCTGCTTTGTGAAATATTGACACACCCCATTCTTACTTTAAACATGCTAGCTCAATAGGTTAGTGAGCACATCTTCTTTTTCTAAGTGTGGTCTGACAAACAGCACAAAAATAAGAATGCATAAAAAATGAACTATTAAATAAAAAAAAACTTTGATAAAAAAAAAAATAGAATGCAAAAACTAATTAATTAAATGTTACACACTTGAATTACATACATGTGATTCTTCCGGCGGGAGTCAAAATCTCCCGCTTTTCAGACCCTCTTCCGTCCCTCCCGTTAAAATTTGAAATCTTCCGCTTTTTGAAAATGTCAACCTCGTAAAATTTTCATTAGACATTTTTGTCTACAAAATCGATACGGACAGAGAAAAAGTCCGAGAAACTCGAAATTGATATGGGAAAAGTCCGAGAAAAACGGAAGTTTCCTGTAATGGATTTTGTGTCAAAAGTTAAAATAGGTAAAATTAGCCTGAGGTGTTTAGGATTAAACTGTATATACAACAATAAATAAAAGATAATAGGCAATTACCTAGTGATCAACTAGCTAGTTTAAGACACAAGCTAGGTTGATTAAAAGTAAAATACTGACAAAGGATTAAATTGTACAAGTTGTATAAACAACGATTTAATTTGATGCTGTTGAAAACATGGAACATTTACTGAACCTCAAAGACAAATGAAATCAACTCAAATATGATATTTATGGCTTGTTTTCTATCCAAGCCAATGGAATACCTATATAAGTACAGTTGTCTTGGACTATTCTAAAATTTTAGAATTTGACAAAATGCAAACCGTATTTTTATATCACCAAATACCCCAGCAGCAAATAAAAGAAGACCAAGTATCTAGCCAAATTCAACTCTGCCTGGAGATCTGGTTTCAAATGATGCAAATCCAGTACCAAGGGTCAAGACCATGCTTACTACACTTCATGCAAAGCTGACTGTGGTGGCCCTAATGATTTGACCAAACTTATGGGGACAGCTACCCACCAGCAAGCCTACAACTCTATCAATTTAACACCTTCTGTTACAAGCATGATCAGTAGTGGTACCAAAGTTGACAATGTAGCTAAATCAGGGGTACTTTTTGCCAACTCTGTATGATGGCTGATCGCTTTATCTTGAATTATATATAATGAATAAATATTTGAAAACCCCTTATCATCTATTTTTTTCAAGTAAAAATGGATATGGAGTTGTTGAAAGGTATGGAATTATTGTTCTTTTAACAAACAAAAAAAGAAGATATGCAGTTTAAACACACTAAAAAACCATTGCGTACGTCGATAAATAGGTCGATAAAAAATCTCCAGTTATGAAGCCCAAACTCCAGCTGAAAATTTCCAAATCTCCAGTTGTGGCTTGACAACTCTGTCACATGTCTGGAATTACTGGTAAAAAAGGCCTAATGCATAAACTGGCTGCACACTTCTACTTGACTGAAAATCATTTCCTCTATATAACCTGTACAGTTTGATATCTTAATTGAGCAAATTACAAACAAAACCATATTAAGTCTTAGTTAAACAGGCACTTTCAAAATAAGTTCATCACAAATGGTTCCTAAGGCAGCAGTTAATATCATACTGACTTTTGATTGGCTGTCAAACATAACACAAAAGTCAAAGCTAAAATTACATATGAAAAAGAATTTCTAGCTTGTCCACTTTCTAACTCTGGTTCCTGAAAAAAAAGAATATAAAAATTGGCATCTGGTGTTAGTTAAGCATGAATTGTTTTCAATAATAAACTTCAAGTTTACTATTTATCAAAATTAAAACTATTTCCTTAAAGGCATGATCTAATTGTTGTTTTTTGTCTGTACCTGTTGCTATTACACTGGCTGATAAATTTCGAAGATTAATTGCTCACAATCTAACCCTGACACTTGTTAATGTGACTATCCAAGAGGAACCTTGCCAAAACTTTTCTTAATGTTTTTCTTAATCCATTTAGGAATTCGGCGTTGACACATTTTTGTGGTCTCTGGTGAATTCATTCATATCTCATCTACAATTGTCATGATTTAGTCCTTAACATTTAGTCGGGATATTATTCAATAAATGACATCAGTCTTTTTATGTTGTTGGTTTGCCGTTTTGACATTTACCAGAATGTAGAAACACATGCACCAAGTCAGGAATATGACAGTTGTTATCCATTCGTTTGATGTGTTTGTTTTTTTTGATTTTGCCATTTGAATGGGGACTTTCCTTTTTGAATTTTCCTCGGAGTTCAGTATTTTTGTGATTTTACTTTTTATGCATAAAAAAACTGTATTGGAGATCCCACAACTCAATTTTTTGTTATTTGAATTTCAAAATTGAAGTCAAGTTCGATATTGACAATTTATACAGCAGGAGATATGTTACTTGATAAATTGGAAAAAGGCACTTTATATTGTTGCTGTCCTATAACTTGAAAACTTTTCAATCATTATGCTTTTCTAGTTCTAATATGCTATTACTGATAACAAACTTGAGGCTAAATTCAGTAATGAAGATTTTTCTTTTGCCATTCAGCAGTTGTGGTCCTGGATTGATTTAAAACTGTTCAATCAATGCTTTTTAAATTTTAATATTTTGTTTCTAGTGACAAAGTTGAGTTCAAGTTTGACTTTTTTCACTATTGCCTTTCAGGAGATATGTCCCTGTTTTTCTTTTTTTTGAACAATAACATCAATAAATGTAACATAACATGGTTTGCTGTCATTTTGACAACCTCCTGTTTGTCTTGTCATTCATAATCAATCTGTATAGAATATATAGTGCCATATAATAAGGATTTGGAACCTTTTAACAAAAGTTATGTACCTAATTGAAAGAAAAAATTACCATTGAACACACACTCCATTGTATCTAACCTACTATATAATAATACTTACAGATTCATGACTATCTATACATTCATCTCTAGTTTTAATTAATACTGATTTATTCAATAAAGTATCACATGTTTCTTCTTCGGTATCTGACCAACTGTTAAAGACAACTTTATATGTATATGTATATGTATATTTAGCACTCCAACACTATGGGAAGGTTATAGATTTATTTAGGTAAATTGGGCACTACACTATCTGAAGCAGAGGCGGATTTAGGGGGGGCCCAGGGGGCCCTGGCCTCCCCTTTTGCAGGAAAAATTTGGTTGATTATATAGGGAATCACTGAAGCGTGACTGGAGCGGGCCCCCACTTATAAAAATTTCTGGAGTCGCCACTGGGAAGGTTTATACATTTTTTGTCTTACTCATACAATACAGAAAATTAACATGTCTACTTTTATTTTTTCAATTTGATGGATATGCTCTTCATCAAACTAATATGCTGAATTGCTGATCCTGCTTTTTAAGGTGCTAGTTCACAAGGTAACAGTCTGTAGGAAGATATGCCACCCTACCAGGAAGCATTATTCATAAATAATTCAACCAGTCTTTGCTTTCATTAATGCAGCATGCTTAGCAGAAAAGCAGCAAATACCAATTTTAAAGTTTTTGTTGAAAAACAGGGATCCCAGGAGCCTGTGGCACTTTTCAGGCTTCTATTTATTTTTTGCCTCAATAAACATTTTAAATGTTTTTTTTAGCAACAGTGGCAGCTATCCCCAAGTGCCAAATATCATTGTGATCAGGCTTGAAACAAGTCTACTCGGAGCACATTTAAGAAAATGGAAATGTCATTCAAGGACAATATTTGCCCTATAAAGTGTCAACCCATGACTTCCATCACTCAATTTTGTTGTAGATCTAGTGTTGCTGACTTTTTTCAGTGTTTTAAGTTATTTCTTATCTGTTTCAGTTTTCAAAGTAATACAACAAGCTGGAAATAGGTTAGTCATGTAAGGACAATAAATCTCCTATTAGGAGTCAATAGACAACTTCTGTCATGTCTTACTTGTAGATCTTGTCTTGCTGATTATGTAAGGACAATAAGTCTCCTATAAGGAGTCAATAGACAACTTCTGTCATGCCTTACTTGTAGATCTTGTCTTGCTGATTATGTAAGGACAATAAGTCTCCTATAAGGAGTCAATGGTCAACTTCTGTCATGCCTTACTTGTAGATCTTGTCTTGCTAATTATGTAAGGACAATAAGTCTCCTATAAGGAGTCAATGGACAACTTCTGTCATGCCTAACTTGTAGATCTTGTCTTGCTGATTATGTAAGGACAATAAGTCTCCTATAAGGAGTCAATAGACAACTTCTGTCATGTCTTACTTGTAGATCTTGTCTTGCTGATTATGTAAGGACAATAAGTCTCCTATAAGGAGTCAATAGACAACTTCTGTCATGCCTTACTTGTAGATCTTGTCTTACTGATTATGTTTGCTGTCTACAGTTTCTCTCTATTAAAATTTCCACATAACCAAAAATGACAGTAAAAAATTGTCATTTCAAGGCAATAACTCCAATAAAGAGTCCATTGACAGTTTTAGTCTTGAAACTTGAAGGTATATCTTGGGTTGCTGATCATTTTTATGTCTAAGGTTTATCACCGTTTAATTATAATTTTCAAGATAATTGCCAAAAACACAAAAAGGAAATAAATTTTCATTTAGGGGCATAACTCCTATAAGAAGTCCATTGAAAATTTTGACCATTTGACCTATTTGTAGATCTTGTCTCGTTCATGACATCTGCTGAAGGTATTTTTCTTAATTCTTAAATTTGTATATCCCTCATTGATCCAGGAGGGCCTCAAAGAAAAAATAATGTATCTTTCCAAGATGTCATAGTTCTGTTGACAAACACTTGCAAAGAATATAAATCTATCATCTCATAAATATTAACAATGGTGTGTTATTTTTATTTTTTGTGTCAGCATTTTTCATGCAATGGATTTACCCTTCATGTAACTATTTATGTGTAGTATATAATTTAAATTGTAACACTTTATAATTACTGGACAGGTTGTACAAATACTTCACAGAAAACAAACAACACCTCAAAACAGTTCCAGATCATCTGACTTTCCAAAGAAAAACTCAGATATGGAAAGCAACATTTCAAGGTACTGAATTTCATTGAAACAATGGTAAAATTTCATTCATAAAATATCAATACATGTGAATGAAATGAATTAAAGTCCTTGTGTGATGCTCTCTTGCATGCAAGATATTGAACTGATCAATAATTTTCAGATCATGGCCAGTTCAATAATAGTGACAACATCAGTCAGTTGAGATAAAAACTAGAGGCTCTGAAGAGCCTGTGTCGCTCACCTGTATTTACTGATGCTTTGGAAATCATGTAAAATAAGGTTAAAATCATAATTAATAGTATCAGATATAAAATATTATAAACAACGGGTTGTCGGATTCGTCTGAAAATTTCAGGGCAGATAAATCTAAATCTGATGAACATTTTTGCCACCTATCAGATTTGCTCTAAATGCTTTAGTTTCAGAGATATAAACCAAAAACTGCATTTTACCCCTATGTTCTATTTTTAACCAAGTCGGCCATGATGGTTGGAAGGCGGGGTCATTGGACAAATTTTTAAAACTAGATATCCTAATAATGATTATGGCCAAGTATGGTTAAATTTGTCTCAGTAGTTTCAGAGAAGAAGATTTTTGTAAAAGATTACAAAAATTTACAAAAAATTGTTAAAAATTTACTATTAAGGGCAATAACTCCTAAAGGGGTCGACTGACAATTTTAGTCATGACAACTTATTTGTAGATCTTACTTTGCTGAACACTATTGCTGTTTACAGTTTATCTCTATCTATAATAATATTCAAGATAATAACCAAAAACTGCAAAATTTCCTTAAAACTACCAATTCAGGGGCAGCAACCCAACAACAGGTTGTCAGATTTGTCTGAAAATTTCAGGGCAGATAGATCGTGACCTGATAATCAGTTTTACCCAAGTCAGATTTACTCTAAATGCTTTGGTTTCAGAGATATAAGCCAAAATCTACATTTTACCCCTATGTTCTATTTTTAGCCATGGTGGCCATCTTGGTTGGTTGGCGGGGTCATCGGACACATTTTTTAAACTAGATACCCTAATGATAATTGTGGCCAAGTTTGGTTAAATTTGGCCCAGTGGTTTCAGAGGAGAAGATTTTTGTAAAAAGCTAACGACGACAGACGACGACTGCCGCCAAGTGATGAGAAAAGCTCACTTGGCCCTTCGGGCCAGGTGAGCTAAAAAAACAATTGTACCCATGCATTACCAATAAATCATCCTATTAATCATGAAGAAAGGATACACATTTTTTCTATGTTCATATCTGAAGGTGGACCCAGTTTTTCAGATAAACATTTAAAACATCTAACAGGTGATGCTGCAGCCACAAACATAAGATTGGTGTCATCTATCCACTGTACAGTGTAACTCCTGAAACATCCATGTATAAAAAACACATTTAATAAAATTTAAAATCATTGGCTATAAATTTTTCCTATAAACAGATGAGAAAAATTGGTTTTGATTGAGTGTTTAAGTCACTGCTAGTTTGTTTATCTATTGCAATCATTTTACATGTATAGGATGTACGATCATCATTTTTTCTAATTTAAAACAATCTGGATACCCAACTACAAAAGCATTTGGGTTCTGTCAGTTTTAACCCCAAGTTTCACAGAAATAGAATACAAAAAACCATCTGATTGTCTTTAAACCCTATAGTTTTTAACATAGAGCAAAAAAAGTCATACATAATAAAATAAACATATCAAAATAGAATTTGTACGTGGTTACTATGCCAAACATTCACTTGTTATAAGTGCATTAATGTATATACAACAAAATCATCATTAAAAATAAATAAGATGTGATTCATGAGTATTACAAGCAACCAAATTCCAGGGTGTCATGTGAAGGGCAAACTTATTTTCAGGCAGTCTGAAATATAAAAGAGCAAGCAAAATTAGGTCTGATTCACACATCATTAAGTCTTACTATGCAGGTCCTATCATTTGACAGGTTATGTGCAATTTTCATGTTTTGGCCTCTCATGACTTTCCATGATTTCAAAGGGGGTTTAGTTCATTAATATTTCACAGAATATACTTCAAAGACTGAAGGAACATAAATTCAGACCTAGACCTAGAAATTTGGGACTGAAAACTAGAGGTTCTAAATAGCCTATGTTGCTCACCTGGATCTGTGGGGAGTTTCAACATTGAAGACTAAAATATAATTCATGACTAAGATCTCTTTGTTGTTGATCTTGTCTTGCAAGTCATTTTTATACATTTTCTTAATCTACTACAGTTTTGGCATAATATGAAAAAAATAATGGGAAAAATCGTAGAGTAATTGCAATAACCCCGTGGACTAGCTTTAGACCAAACATAAAATCTTTCCCTTCCATAGAAGTCAAAAAAGGTTTTCTACCCAAGGTCTTTCAAACAGATGGACAGATGGAGCTGAATGGTTACTAGACCTGTTTTCACCATTGGGGACGCAGGTATAAACAACAGTAAATAAAATAACTAAACAGCACAATTAAACTTTCATGTGAAATCAAGGCCAGTATATAAAGTCGTGAAAACAGTCATTCCTTGTAAGTAAAGTATATAGTAAAGTAAAGAAACAGTAAAATTCAATTTTTTTGTGAAATCAAAGCCAGTATATGTATTGTTGTAAAGTCATGAGAAAAGTCATTCCTTGTTTGTAAAGTATTAAAGTAAGAAAAAGGTCATACCTTGTATGTAAAGTAAGAATTGACTTTAAAATAAATATGCAAATGAAATAAAAAATGCATAACAAAATTATGATGTGCTTCAAAGCTTGCACAGACTACTTATCTAAACATCTCTCTAATAAACTGAAAACAAACAAGACTGCAATGTTAGAACAGGCTGAAACCTACGGACAACTTAACTCCTTTATATGATTTAAGGCCATGTAAAGGTTGAGATACGTTTTTGCTTTTGAGAGTACAAAAGGAGGAAGCAAAAACAATGCATCTCAATGATTAGGACTCACAGTCTTGTTGAATAATAATTATTTAAAGCATTTTTCTTTTCCTGAAATATCATATGACTAAATGCAGACAAGTATCTAACCCAAAATGATTTTTTCATCTCAATCTATGGCCCTCCTTATTATAATACCACTGGGTTAGTTTATCCTTACCATTAATTTTGTTAAGGTAGTTCGTGTGTCTTTTTCTGAGCATCCATTCTGGTCATGTTGCAAAAATACTTTTTCATTTAAAATATTATACCAAGTATCATTCAATATACAACAGAAAAATCTAGAACTTGAAATTCAAAGATTAAACTATCAAAAAATGAAGTGCCATTAAGTGTATTTAAAATTTTTAGAAAAAAATCCTTTTCAAGAAAATAAGGCCCATTAGCGTGTGTTTTTATTTAATTTAGGATGTATTTATGAAAAGCAATTCTCTCATTAAATTTTAACCAATTCTATAGTTTAATGACTCCTCAATTAAGAAAAATTAAGTTTCCCCTATATAACCCATATAAAATAACTGATTTTGTTAATTTCAATGTATTTTAACGGAAAAAAAAGGTCCGTGACCCCCAGTTTTTATACTGAAATTTGAAGATACATTTACCCAGACATTTTTCACAGAAGTTTAAGAAATATCTATAGTAGAACATTTAGACACCCCAGCTACCCTAAATTGCAATTGACATAAATTTAAAGTAAGTGCTACTTATCTACCTAATAAAAAGACAGATGCCTGGAAAAAAGGTCTAAAATATAATCTGAATAGTGGGGCCAAATAATCTCCAGAGATGACCAATGATAAAGGGAAGGGGCAAAAATGTCTCCATGGAAATGAGGTGTGCAAAAGCTAATGCATAAGCCTACCAAATATCATTGACCCACCATTTGCATTTTCTCTCAAAAGACCTTATCACAAACTTAAATAATTGTTGATGCCATTGTTGCCATCACAATTTTTTTAAACAGCAAGCCCAAGTTTTAGTCTCCATGATTTGGTTAAGTCAAGACAAAAGCAAGCAGATATTTATCAAGCTATGCATTGCTTAAAAACACCGCCAGCATAAAATAAAATTCATAATTAAAAAGGAGAGATAAACTTTAACTGATCAAAGCCATATACAGACAAATAAACTACTTAAACAAACTAGTTTTCTAGATGTACAAAAAAGATATATATGTATCTGGTATTAATGTCATTCACCACATAAACTTATTTAAAACAAAAGGTAAAATGTCTTTAAAAAAATGCAAAATCTAAAAAGTTGAATAACACATGGAAACTGAATATAACTCCTACATATTAAATTGAAAAGCAGTTTCAGTGGAATCATAAATTACAATAAATCAAAATGTAAATTTTTCTGTTTTTGGTTTTAATAGAAAACTTATGATTTCAATTTGGACTAAAATGGAACCAAACATGGAGGCAGTAGAACTAAAAAAACATCTAATGTCTGTTTTCATTGCTTAGATTTGTTTATAAACCAGTTGTTCTTACAAGATGAATGACAGCAAATGCTCATACCACAACAAGAATGTATCCATAGTACACGGATGCCCAACTCGTACTATCATTTTCTATGTTCAGTGGACCATGAAATTGGGGTCAAAACTCTAATTTGGCATTAAAATTAGAAAGATCTTATCATAGGGAACAAAAACTACCTTGACCAAAAAATTGAACCTGTAGCGGGACAGACAGATAATGCCCTAGGTGGGGCATAAAAATCAATTGGAATCATTAAGATTTGACAGGAATCACAATTGTATAGGCATCATCCAATATTAATTTTCTGTAACTAACCTATTACACTGTGGCATACAGGCAGCTGGATCAGAACAGTACTTGCAATCTGATGTTGATGACACAAATGGATTGTGCCTGTACTTCTTGAGTTTATTAAAGTTTATCCTGTTTCTAGTTTGGTACATAGCACATGGCATGTCCATCGTGGGACATAAAGGAACTGTCTGCAGTAAATGATGCTGGTATGACTTTGCCAAAGTACTAAACTTAGAAGCTTCTTGTAAATCACTGAACAAATAGCATGTGTGTTCTAAAATATAAATGTATAATATAATTTTCTGATTTGTGAAAAAAATTGATTTCAATCTAAGTTATTTGTAGATTTCTATCTACAACTGTTTTCAATACAATAACTTGCATTTTAACACTATGTTCTACTTTTAGTCATAGAAGCCATTTAAGTTGGCAGGGTTGATTATCAGACACATTTTTGAAACTAGATACCCTTTGGATGATTGTGGCCTAGTTTGGTTCATATTGGCTCAGTAGTTTCAGAGGAGAACACTTTTGTAAAAGTTAATAAATTATGGACGATGGACGACAAAATGTCAAGTAATGAAAGTAGCTCACATGGCTCTTATGTCCAGCTGAGCTAAAAACGAAACAAAACCAGTAGTTTTTTATGTCAATTCGCAAATCCCAATTGCAAATAATTTTGGATGATTGAAATTGAATTGTTTCCCTTTTTACATTTGAAAAAGTGTTGCAAATAAACTTGATATCAATGTCCAGCTGGTACAGAATTTTATTGCTATTTTGTGTATTTTTCCTTTGATCTTTTTTTTGTGATAATTTTTCATATCATGCTACACGCTTGAGATAGAAAATTATTGTCAGAAACTAAGGATGCACGTGCCGTTGTCAAAGTAAACATCAACAGCGTCATAGGCAAAATAGCGATAAACAGATTATCAATGGTCTTTCAAACTTGAGGATGTTTCTCGGCCACATCTGATCTTAAGGCTGTCATCCTTCGATGAGATTGTAGCTGAGAAACACCCTTTCGTTTAAAAAACCATTGATAATCTATAATTATTCCACTACTTCCAAAGGATAATAATCTGTTATTTTAAACTAGAGGCTCTAAGGCCCTGTATGTTATCATCAATTTTATCTATCAACTTCAAATCATAAAGTAATATTTGATAAATATTGATCTATGCAACTGAATTTAATTAAGATTTGAAAAGTATTGATGATGATAGAGAATTAAAATGGTGTTTTATACTTTCTGCAAGTAATTTATACATCTGCTAGCTATGGTTTACTTATATACCTTTATTTCAGAATTGTGTTCCCATGGTATGAGTTGTGACATAGGGTAAAATTGGCAGGAAAGAAAAAATCAAAACCAAATTGATTTAAAACAAATGTAACCACTATCTTTTTTTTTATCCTAAAATATGAAAATACAACATAACCCTGGGAATTAAAGTTTGGTAGCTAACTTACTTTTAGGAGCTTGAGCATGAACACTGTAATCCTCTGTAAACCAACTCCACTCATATAAAAATCTACAACAAAAGCAAGGAAATACAGCTTTAATATTCTGATGTTAGCTAAATTTCAAATATTGCAAATAGTAAAGAGAAAAACAAACTATTGGTGAAAACTAATGAAACATAAGATCATTTTATTCTTTTGTTCCATTATTTATGTTGAAATTTATCTATTGAATATTCCAGCAAAATTTTAGTTTGATATGAATCATTTACTTTTGAGAAGACATTGTATGTATAACTGATGCAAAACAGGAAAATTGCTACATTGTCAGTTTTCCTATAGAATCTCTGTGGTTCTCTCTGGCTTCCTCCACCAATAAAAACTGACCGCCACCAAATAGCACACTAGTGCTGAAAGTGGCTTTAAATAACAATCAATCAATCAGTCCAATGACCTTTCCATGGTAAAAGTTAACCTAAGAGAGTAAAGAATAACTTACATGACTGTTTCTGTAAACATCCAAAAAATAAAGTTTGCCAACTGTTTGAATGGCTGAAAAAAAAGAAAATTTAACTTAAATTTACTATTCTGTTTTGAATTATACAATAAATTAGAGGGGTTATATTTCAACTTGATACATGTTCTTTGTCAACAGACAATACAGCAATTCATTATAATATGTTGGCCAGGATGTGCTAATTAATTGGATGATGAAATACATATTCCATAAATAAGAGGCTTCCACGAATCTGATTCACTCACCTAACAATTTCTCTCCTTTATTGCTTAAGATAAGATAACTAATAACAAATTAAGCTTGAGATGGTTGTTTTCATCAATCTTCTAAAAATTCTTAACTTTTTCCAATGTAGTTTCATAAAAGATGATTTTTGAAAATAGGCCATACAGAATCAAAGACTCTAGAGGCCATATTTTTTATCCAATCAGAACCAATTGCACAGAATATGCAGAGGACCTTCTACCATTCCTATCACGTTTGATTAAATTGGCAAAGAAATTTCAATGAATAAAAGGCTCTAAAGAGTCTTTGTATTTCACCTGGATCTAAGTGCATATTCAACAATGGCCACTCTCCAACATTGTACACTATAATAATTCACGACTAAAATCTCTTTTCTGTTGATGTTGCATTGCTGATAAAAAAAATTCTGTTAATTTCTCTCTATTTGCTATAATTTTTGCAAAAAACACAAAAATGGGTAAAAATCATAAGTCAAGGGCAGTAACTCATATAAGAAGTGGACTGACAATATTGGCTTATTTGTTGATCTAATCTTGCAGATTATTTTTGTTATTTGAAGTTTCTCTCAATCTATTATAGTTTTCAAGATAATGGGCAAAAACGCAAATAATTGGTAAAAATCATCATTTTAGAGAAATAACTCCTTAATAAGGAGTTGTCTGAACATTTCCACAGTTTTCAAGATAATAGACAAAACTCTTTACTCCTATATTCTATTTCTAGCCATGTTGGTTGGCAAGCAGGATTATTGGACACAACTTTTAAACTAGATACCCCAATGATGATTGTGACCAAGTTTGGTTCCAATTTTCCAAGTTTCAGAGGAGGATATTTTTGTAACAGTTAACAGACAACAACGGATGACAAGTGTCGAGAAAAGCTCACTTGACCCTTCAAGTCACACAAGCTTATGGCTTATTTGTGCCACCAAGGCTGCTGCTGTGTTTGCCATCAACACTAAATGAGAATCTTTTGCATGGATGAACTTCCAAACATCAATCTCAAAGTTCAAAATACTGCAAATTGGTCAATCAGAATCAAAGACTGCCTCTAGCAGCCATGCTTTTCATCCAATCAGAACCAACTGAGTATTGTTTGTAGGGGACGTATCAAATGCTATTCCTTTCAAGTTTGCTTAAAATTTGCTTTTTCCATATGGTTTCATTTGGGAACTATATGTAACCAATGAAGCTGTGTCAGCCAAATAAACAATACTAAAGCATAGACAACTAATAACAAGATTGTAATGAACCAGTCCTTCTCCTGAAGAAATGACAACCTATTAAATAAGCAGTAGCACCAAAACTGAATGATACACTCTTCTTGTGCATATTGAAATTGTTGTGAGAAGAATGTGGAATATTTAAAAGGCATCTCATCAGAAGTTAGTAAAATGGCTCTGTAGGAAAACTTGCATGAGGGCATTCTTGTTAAATTTTCATGAGAATGGTGAAAGCAAATAAGAGTTATTGAAATACATGTAAACATACGATTAAACTATGGTATGCCATAAGTCCTGTCTTAGATGCCTTATAAACTAAAGATTATTGTGAAATCTAAGTAGCCTTATAAACTAAAGATTATTGTGAAATCTAAGTAGCCTTATAAACTAAAGATTATTGTGAAATCTAAGTAGCCTTATAAAACTAAAGATTATTGTGAAATCTAAGTAGCCTTATAAAACTACAGATTATTGTGAAATCTAAGTAGCCTTATAAAACTAAAGATTATTGTGAAATCTAAGTAGCCTTATAAAACTAAAGATTATTGTGAAATCTAAGTAGCCTTATAAAACTAAAGATTATTGTGAAATCTAAGTAGCCTTATAAAACTACAGATTATTGTGAAATCTAAGTAGCCTTATAAACTAAAGATTATTGTGAAATCTAAGTAGCCTTATAAAACTACAGATTATTGTGAAATCTAAGTAGCCTTATAAACTAAAGATTATTGTGAAATCGAAGTAGCCTTATAAAACTACAGATTATTGTGAAATCTAAGTAGCCTTATAAAACTACAGATTATTGTGAAATCTAAGTAGCCTTATAAAACTAAAGATTATTGTGAAATCTAAGTAGCCTTATAAAACTACAGATTATTGTGAAATCTAAGTAGCCTTATAAAACTACAGATTATTGTGAAATCTAAGTAGCCTTATAAAACTAAAGATTATTGTGAAATCTAAGTAGCCTTATAAAACTAAAGATTATTGTGAAATCTAAGTAGCCTTATAAAACTACAGATTATTGTGAAATCTAAGTAGCCTTATAAAACTACAGATTATTGTGAAATCTAAGTAGCCTTATAAAACTAAAGATTATTGTGAAATCTAAGTAGCCTTATAAAACTAAAGATTATTGTGAAATCTAAGTAGCCTTATAAAACTAAAGATTATTGTGAAATCTAAGTAGCCTTATAAAACTAAAGATTATTGTGAAATCTAAGTAGCCTTATAAAACTACAGATTATTGTGAAATCTAAGTAGCCTTATAAAACTAAAGATTATTGTGAAATCTAAGTAGCCTTATAAAACTACAGATTATTGTGAAATCTAAGTAGCCTTATAAAACTAAAGATTATTGTGAAATCTAAGTAGCCTTATAAAACTAAAGATTATTGTGAAATCTAAGTAGCCTTATAAAACTACAGATTATTGTGAAATCTAAGTAGCCTTATAAACTAAAGATTATTGTGAAATCTAAGTAGCCTTATAAAACTACAGATTATTGTGAAATCGAAGTAGAACTTATTAAAATTGATACTTAATTTCTTCATTTAAATTGTTTCAAAAATGAAATACTTACATTTAGTAAAAAAGCAGCTGAGTTTTCACCATCTTTTGGGAGTTGCTTTTTACACATGACTTGTTGATTCAAATATTTTTCTCTAAAATATATATAAAACATAATGCTAGTTCTCACTAAAACCTTAAATTAGATGTAATTTGTTGATGTTTTTTTTTATAAATTTCAAACTAATATGTACACCTCATAAGCATCAACAAACCTTATATATCTCTCAAGCAGCTAATCACTATAGTACCAAAAAATTGAAATTCCATAAAAAGTCTTATCAAGGAAATTTGATATCACTGTGAGCTGAAGCAAACCTTAACAAACAAGAATATGTCCATAGTACACAGATGCACCACTAGCACTATCATTTTCTATGTTCAGTGAAATTGGGGAAAGATCATATCATAGGGAACATGTGTACTATGTTTCAAGTTGATTGGACTACAACTTCATCAAACACTACCTTGACTAAAAACTTTAACCTGAAGCGGGACAGATGGACGGACGTACGTACGAATGAACGAACGGACAAACGGACGCGCAGACCCAAAAACATAATGCCCCTAGGTGGGGCATAAAAATTTACAAACCAATTGAAGCTGGAATATTAGTTATGATTATAAAGTAATCCAATTATCCAATTGTGTAATGCAAATGAAGTTATGTTCAAGGAAACCTTTTTTTATCACAAATGTGACAAGAATCTTGGACATAAGAACGGAAGCCTCATGTCAAGACAGTTTTGCATTACAATGATTTTATAGACCAATGAAACATGGAAATGTGCTATTTAATAATAAAACATGTACAATAGAACTGTAATTTTTAATTTAGATTCTCAAAGCAATAGAAAGGATTATGTATTTTCAAGTAAAAAATTTGGTTCACACTAAAAAAGTCATATTTACAGTAAACAATTTCAAACCAGACTTACTGTTTGTAAAAGTTGTTGTCAATTAATTCTTGCATTAATGACTGGTCTTCTAAAAGTTTACCAGCTGATGTCATCTGGAATAAAGTATTACTAAATGTAAAATATCAAGTGTTTTATCTCATGTTTTAATGTGCTGCTTCATAAAAAAAATCTTCATTTGTTTTTTGTTTACTGATATTTTACATAAAAATTTGATGAAAACCTGTCACAGGTCACATTTAGATGACCTAAAAACTTACAATCATAAAACTGCCAGTGGAATTGTTCATAATTTTTCTTGTACCCTTTAGCAAGTAACAGAAGAGATGTTCTTATAGAGGACAGGCAAGATCAATTTATCGTGAAACTACTGACATATTTAAGTAGGAAAAAAATCAGTCTCTGTAGGAGATGATTGTAATGCACAATTTTGTAATTTAAACAATGTTTGATGATGGTAAAAGTGAAACTTAAGAATACCTTGAAAATTTGAAAATTCATTGATTGTTATTTGCTACATGTCCAGGGCAAATATTCAAAATGAAAAATCATCATGTGAAGAGCTCAAGGGTGTTGACTGAAATATTCACAGCACTTTTAAATAGAAATGACAAAAAAAAATTGTATAATACTATATCTTCTATGATCTTGTTTTTTTAAATACAATCCATTCATTACAATATAACACTTACATTTTCATTGTCCATGTTAGAATAGATGATATATCCATTACTGTCTAAAATATAACAGGTTATTTGATCCTGAAAACAGATTTTAACTTGTTGTTCATTTTCCTCCAATATACTTGTAATAAAGCATTTAATAATAAGCTACCGGGTAAGTAAAATTGGGAATATTTAGAGCTTGAAACATTGTATAGAAACCTGTCCAAGACTGTATCTTACCCTCTAGATGACTTTTGGTTATAGTTATCTCATTGACATGTTACCCACATCTACTTTTATTCTTATTTAAATATTTCATAAAGAGAAAAAAATTTTAAGAAGACAATTTAGAGGTTATTCAAGTATCACAGCAATAAAATCAATCATTTGTGGCTGAATATTTTGAACTTGTAAAAATATTCATATCACAACTCTTGTGATCATATTGTTTCATTCTTTCAATCTTCAAACTTAATAAAACTAATATCAACAGATAATTTGAATTTCCCACATCTTCACTTTGCAATATTTTGATTAACTTGGAAAAACTCCAATAAAATTAGGTAAAAGATTCATAGTTTTAACATTAGAACTCTTGTCCTGTTGGTTATAAATTTTAATCACTCTTTACTAAACAGGTTTGAAAAAGTCCTTTTTAAGTGTGAACATGTCTCCGGATACAAGAAGAATAAAGAGCATCGCCATCAGCGCATGATACGCCCGTCACATTTTAAACAGATAAAGTTCCATAACTCTTCAATGCCATATCTGAAATTTATAAAAAAAACTAAGGGGAGGTTATTTTAATAGATATAAACCAGTCACCAAAGTTTCATGAAAACTGCTCAAAGCACTTTTGAGTTATTGTCCGAAAACTGGAAATTCCCACCTTTTTTATGAATAAAACCCCATAACTTGGAAACGTAAAATCAAAAATGTATAAAAAATGAAAGGGAGCTTACGTCAATAGTACTAAACAATTCACCAAAATTTCATGCAAATTGGTAAAAGTGTTTTTGAGTTATTGTCAGACATGTTGATGGCGGACGGACAACAGTATACCATAATATGTCCTGTAAATGGGCATATAAAAATACAAAAATTGTCCATTCTTCAATTTTATAAATATGTTTGTTTGTTGATGTGTAACACAACTTTCAGCTCATTAGCTACATCATGGAGGCCAGTTTCTATTAATACGACATCATTATCAATATGGAGCCAGTCAAAGTACAAGAAAATATACTGTTACTGCACTAGATAATATTAACTTGGAAGAGGTTTTTGGTGTGTTTACTACAGATTCATATCATGGTTATAGGTATACCACAATTAAAATATTCAACAAGTACAAATTTGCCATAGGATTGTATGCAGTTTTTTTTAACCAAACCACAAAATCATATATCCATGAAATTTGGCACCAATCAAACTAAATGAATCCACAGTAGACCTAGAAACATTAGTTGTAATAAATCCTGTAACTTATACTTACTTTGTCCTTACAAGACAATGAGCTATCAGGATTTGTCTGAGGTACAGACATATTTTCTATTACTTCCTCCATACGTTGTGTAAATGATAAGTATTTCATTTGTAACCCCACTACCAGCATTGTAAATTTTTGTTTATATATTGGTGCTGTTATTGTTATAACCAAATTTTTTGGATGAGCTGAAAATGATAAAAAAAAAGACATTTTATTTGTTCGGTTGGTCTCTTGTGAATTTTGTAAATTTTGAACTGTAACATGGATTTATGTTACCTGAATTGTTGCAAGAAACCCTAACAACAAATAACAAAATATATGCAATAAATCTAGCAAGTACAACTGATAGAATTGTACAACTGCAAAAAAAGTATATCAGTTAAACAGAGAATCAATAAAATTCATCAGAATTATCATACTATCACTAGTATCATCTAAACAGAATATTTCTACCTATGTACAGTGATGGCAAGATCATTAACTATAATCTTTCTGATGGCCAAGATAATGTACAGGTATAACAAGCTGTACTGTCAGCTATTCATCACCAATTATACTCCCACCCAGTGTTGTTGACCCTTTTTTGCAGTAAATACTTGAATCCATCAAATCTTAATGAAGCTTGTAGTTGTTGAGGAAATTGCAACATTTTTTTTGTATATGTGATCAGGTTTTTTTCATCATAGTTAAATAGTGAAAATGTCTATTGGTTTGAATTGGTCATTTCCTAGACTGGTAGTCATGATGTATCAATAGCTCTAAGAGCCCAGATAAAGCTTGGTGTCATATAGCAAGAAGTGATGACTTGTTCTGAGAAAAATGTGACAGCAAGGTGTTATGACAGATGCAAATAGGTAAACCATTACACCTCTTTATTTTGAGCAGGGACATAAAAATATATATAAAGACCACATGACTTTGTACTAAGAGAACATAGATGATTACTTACTAAACAATTCTGCATGATAAGGTACAGAATATGTATAATTATATCCATATTCCAATCCTTCTACTGTTTGTCTGTAATATTTATTCTTTACAGTCTCCCTATTCTCTTTTATAAAATTTCTGTAAAATACAAAAACAACAGTACTATAAGTCATTCAAAATCAAAGTGTTTTTTATTCATATCAATATGTCTCTTTCCTGAATTTCTGTGGATAACAAGTAAAAACAAATGAAACTGTGAGCTACTGCTCTCTGATGATACCCCCGCCGCAAGTGGATAATTGTAATATTGTAAAAATATGTAAGTGTTCGGTAAACAGGAAGTTGCTGAGTGATGAATCTGAAAATGCATCACACCGTATAGCTGACTTATATAAACCCTGAAACCAAATTTCAGAAATCCTTGTAATGTAGTTCCTGAGAAAAATGCGACGGAAATTTTCAACTTGGATGTCATGTGTAAAATGATGTAAGTGTTCAGTAAACAGGAAGTTGTTGAGTAATGAATCTGAAAAGACATCACACGGTATAGCTGACTCATATAAACCCTGAAACCAAATTTCAGAAATCCTTGTAATGTCGTTTCTGAGAAAGATGTGACGAAAAATATTCATGGGACGGACGGACGGACTGACGGATGGACAGACAGAGGTAAAACAGTATACCCCCACTTTTTTAAAGCGGGGGTATAATGAAAACAGTATACTAAAGTACCAATGGCTTTCTTTGAGTGTGCAAATTATGTTGCTTTTCAACATTGAGGAGCATAAATTATAGAAGAAAACAAGTTTTTCATTTTTTATTAAATTTATGTTAGCAAAACTTTATCAAATTAATAAACATGCACAAAAATTATTGACAAGATTGCACACACTGAAATGTCTTTACTGATCATGACTGAAAAACTGATTATTTAAGTGAATTTTTCGAAGTCCAAGGACCATAACTCTGCACACAAAATCATCAGACCGGAACACACTTTGGACTTGATCTGTGACTTGTCATGATAAAACTATATACCAATTATCAAATCAATATCTGCAAGCATGACTAAAAAAAGTGTGGAAAACTGATTATTTGCGTGAATGTTTTAAGTCTAAGGACCATAACTCTACACAAAATCATCAGACCGGAACAAAATTTGAACTTGATCTGTAACTTGTCATGATAAAACAATACACCAATTATCAAATCAATATCTTCAAGCATGAAGAAAAACTGATATGCCGGACTGACGGATGGACAGACAGACAGACAGACAGAGTGCATCCTTAAGTCCTCTTAGTTGGTAGGGGACTAATAAATCATATTCTCCCAGTAGTACATATTTCTCACACTTTTATTCAAAGTTTCTGTTGTTATTTCAGTGACCAAGATCAAAAGAGGGATGGGTAGTTGGTGACATAATATAATATAACATAACATAATACAAACACAATAATTTTGTGGTCATATAATAAGAGATAATGGACCCTTCCATTTAATAAAATTGCTCTTTTCTTTGGAGGGGGGTTAAAATATTTTTAAAAATCTAAATACTTACGGCTCTGTTAAGTTTGCTGAGGCTGTCACATATTTTGTCAATCCAGCTGATGTCCACAAAAACACTTGTTCTATCCCAAAACTGAAAAAATCAAATCTCATATTTAACTTTCAGGGGAAACAAATATCTACATCGCCTGTTCAGTCTACAATTTCCTTTAGCTTCTGCACATTTTCGTTTCAGATTCAGGAAGTGTCCTATCAAGACATTTAGTCACTCAAAACATGTTAATTTAGAGTAAAGTATAGAAAATGAAATGGTCTTGAACCTGAAATCATCATTAAGATGAGAATTTTAGCCATACAGCTAGTATTTGTCAAAAAGAGTATAATAAAATAAGGACAAATATGGAATAAATAGACACTTACTTTGGGATGCAAGTTGGAGCTTTCATTAATAAATTTAGGACTAGTAAGTCCACTCTTTTTACTGCTTGTATTTTGGTGAAAAAAGCAAGTAAAACTTGTGAAACCTGGAAACTTATAACAAATACAATCTTAATTTCGTGTATGATACCACACAATGTTATCATATAGAAACATACCTTTTATACACATCTCTTGGCTTCACTCTTGTATCATAACTAAAAAAAGATGATTGGATTATGTATCTATGAAGTGAGTTTATTTTATGCAAGATCATCAGGACAATAAATTGGAAAGTTTTGACCTATCAAATAAAGTTTATATTGCTTTAAATTACTCATTTACTCATTTTCCTTGAAGCAAAACTCCAGAAAAAATACAAATTTGACACCCTTATTTTTTTTCTTTAGTTCTTAAAGAAACCAAGTTACACTGATTGTAAAGAGAAAATTTGGAACTAGAGGCTCTCAAGAGCCTGTGTCGCTCACCTGTATTTACTGATGCTTTGGAAATCATGTAAAATAAGGTTAAAATCATAATTAATAGTATTTGAAGTTAGATATTATAATGATATCTAAGATAATAACAAAAAAACTGCAAAATTTTTGTAAAATTACTAACTCAGTGGCAGCAACCCAACAACGGGTTGTCAGATTCGTCTGAAAATTTCAGGGCAGATAAATCTAAATCTGATGAACATTTTTGCCACCTGTCAGATTTGCTCTAAATGCTTTAGTTTCAGAGATATAAACCAAAAACTGTGTTTTACCCCTATGTTCTATTTTTAACCAAGTTGGCCATGATGGTTGGAAGGCGGGGTCATCGGACAAATTTTTTAAACTAGATACCCTAATAATGATTATGGCCAAGTATGGTTAAATTTGTCTCAGTAGTTTTAGAGATTACAAAAATTTACGAAAAATTGTTAAAAATTGACTATAAAGGGCAATAACTCCTAAAGGGGTCAACTGACAATTTTGGTCATGATGACTTATTTGTAGATCTTACTTTGCTGAACATTATTGCTGTTTACAGTTTATCTCTATCTATAATAATATTCAAGATAATAACCAAAAACTGCAAAATTTCCTTAAAATTACAAATTCAGGGGCAGCAACCCAACAACAGGTTTCAGAGATATAAGCCAAAATCTACATTTTACCCCTATGTTCTATTTTTAGCCATGGCAGCCATCTTGGTTGGTTGGCAGGGTCATCGGACACATTTTTTAATCTAGATACCCTAATGATGATTGTGGCCAAGTTTGGTTAAATTTGGCCCAGTTGTTTCAGAGGAGAAGATTTTTGTAAAAAGCTAACGACGACGGACGCCAAGTGATGAGAAAAGCTCACTTGGCCCTTCGGGCCAGGTGAGCTAAAAACCGAACACATTAATATCTTATTTGAAAACAATACCTTGCAGAAACTTGTTCCCTTGCTCTTTTGGTCCATTCATCTAATATATCACTTGTTATACTCCAATCCCATTGTAAATAACTATCACTATACTCAGAACCTGTATCCATAAAAGTAAGGTTTATTAGAAAAGCTTAACAACCAGAAGCATCAATAAAACATTTCAATGAGCCCTCTAAAAGATATAATAACTTTTAGGGATAGGCACAGGGTAGTTAAATAACACAAAACAAGCCAAACTTATGTGCATGTCAGGGAACCTTGCTTGTGGTTTCTTATCTTAATGTTAGATATTGCTGTTTGTTTTTTTTATTTCTTTATAAATGTTGTAAAGAACTTGTCTTTTGTTAAAGAAGGACTATTTCCCACTTTCTGTTTTTGTGTCATTGTCTCATTGATGTATTTGTAAAGACACTTGCCTTTGATAAAGAATGACTATTTCCCTTGTGATGTTTTTGTGCCATTGCCTCATTGATGTATTTGTAAAGACACTTGCCTTTGATAAAGAATGACTATTTCCCTTGTGATATTTTGTGTCATTGTCTCATTGATGTATTTGTAAAGACACTTGCCTTTGATAAAGAATGACTATTTCCCTTGTGATGTTTTGTGTCATTGTCTCATTGATGTATTTGTAAAGACACTTGCCTTTGATAAAGAATGACTATTTCCCTTGTGATGTTTTTGTGCCATTGTCTCATTGATGTATTTGTAAAGACACTTGCCTTTGATAAAGAATGACTATTTCCCTTGTGATGTTTTTGTGTCATTGTCTCATTGATGTTTTTGTAAAGACACTTGCCTTTGATAAAGAATGACTATTTCCCTTGTGATGTTTTTGTGTCATTGTCTCATTGATGTATTTGTAAAGACACTGTTGCCTTTGATAAAGAATGACTATTTCCCTTGTGATGTTTTTTGTGTCATTGTCTCAATGATGTATTTGTAAAGACACTTGCCTTAGATAAAGAATGACTATTTCCCTTGTGATGTTTTGTGTCATTGTCTCATTGATGTATTTGTAAAGACACTTGCCTTTGATAAAGAATGACTATTTCCCTTGTGATGTTTTTGTGCCATTGTCTCATTGATGTATTTGTAAAGACACTTGCCTTTGATAAAGAATGACTATTTCCCTTGTGATGTTTTTGTGTCATTGTCTCATTGATGTTTTTGTAAAGACACTTGCCTTTGATAAAGAATGACTATTTCCCTTGTGATGTTTTTGTGTCATTGTCTCATTGATGTTTTTGTAAAGACACTTGCCTTTGATAAAGAATGACTATTTCCCTTGTGATGTTTTTGTGTCATTGTCTCATTGATGTATTTGTAAAGACACTTGCCTTTGATAAAGAATGACTATTTCCCTTGTGATGTTTTTGTGTCATTGTCTCATTGATGTTTTTGTAAAGACACTTGCCTTTGATAAAGAATGACTATTTCCCTTGTGATGTTTTTGTGTCATTGTCTCATTGATGTTTTTGTAAAGACACTTGCCTTTGATAAAGAATGACTATTTCCCTTGTGATGTTTTTGTGTCATTGTCTCATTGATGTTTTTGTTAAGACACTTGCCTTTTGATAAAGAATGACTATTTCCCTTGTGATGTTTTTTGTGCCATTGTCTCATTGATGTAAACTCCTCATCTTGTATTCATACTTACATCCTTTTCCTCCTCCTTTAGATTTTTTACCATCACCAGAATTTTTATTATTTCCATTGTCAGAAAATTTTTTTACCAAGAAATTTTGTAATTCATTGAAGTCCGTCCATTCATGTTTACAATAGCGCCTGCAATACAAAGTGTGTAGAATTAATCTTTTTTATGTCGATTATTATGAACTTGTTCTGCAAAGAGCACATGCTCCATATTTTTTCCGTCAGTCAAGCTAAATTGGGTTTATTATGGGGAGAGGTGGTGGAGTGGAAGCTGTCATGCCAAATCAAAGCTACCACTCCCCCTTTTGCACTTTGGGTTAGCTTTTGACCTGGCATGAATTTTCCAACATCTTCCACACTTCTCCAAAATTAGCCCAATTTAGCTAAAACTTCAGATTTTTCAGTTTTCTCATTACCATTGTAGAATAAAACTAAAACATGTCTGCACATGGGACTATTTTCAGCTGTGGAATAAAGATTTTATTTCTTAAAGTATCCCTTCATATAATCTGAACAGGAAATGGAACACTTATTTATTGGATTTAATGAAGGTCTTTGCACATGAAATTCTGAATAAATGTGGATGAAGGAGGTGATTACTTCAGCAAACAAAATGTTGGGATGGTTGTTCTTTTTTATGAATGACTTGTGCATTTCATTGATAAATTGACATGGATGTACATGAAAAAAGTGAAGTTACTGCATTGTTAGGAGATGTCAATATCCGCAATCTGAAAAAAATATTAGGCAGTAGGATCAACAGTAAAACGCCAATAAAATGAGGGTTCCATTTCTGGTCATATTATCTTTATGTGATTTAACCATCTGTTTTGTTTACTTTTTTTTTTTTTTCATCACCAAATTTTATACACTGCATAATTTTAAGCCATTTTTACAGGTAAAGGATTTACAGGTTAAATTTAATACTGATTAGATTAACAAAATAAATGACAAACTATGTAACATAGAGTTCACTGTATCCATTAACCCTGTAATTTTTTTTAATGTCTCTACATCTGACCAAATGTATGTCCTAATAACCTATTCAAATTTATCATGTTTCATAAACACATTTTTTCAGAATTCTTACCATGTTGCTAGTTCTGTATGATCGTCTTTTTCTGAAAATACAAAAAGGCTAAATTTACAAATGTGTAACAAGTGTATACAACTATTTGAAAGGTAGGTCAGGAGGAATTTTTACAAATGAAATAATCATTTTTATTTGTTGCCTTGCCAGCCTATTTTTTTGTGAGGAAGAGCTGCACAAAACTTTATTTCAATTTTGTTGTTCACAATTATGTTCCTATATTTTGAGACTGTACGTCAACTCTTGGTGTCTTTGTGTTGTTAGATTACTGTCTCATTCCCTTTTACTTCACATCTACTTTATTTATACAAAAAATACCTGCATAAATAAAGCAACACATTTCAGATGTTATATTTGATAAGGAGGTGAACTGTACCCCTCACTGATGGAAACTATTATATGGTAGTTAACATTTAATTCTATCACCATCTCTCCAAGCTATTGATGATGATGAACTGGTATTTAACTTCCAGTGGCAAATGTTACATGCATACCAGGAAGAGATAAATTAATGTGATATTAATATAAACCCTGCTTTGTACTTGAAAATATGCAGAGCCAGGTTTTTATTTAGCTAGTTCAAAAGATAAAAGTCTGTCAGAAGCCATGTCACCCTACCTGAACAGATTAATTAAACTAGTTGGCTCTTATTCCTAAATGCTGCATGTTTAGCTAAGAAAAAGAAAATACTAAGTACCAGTTTTTGGTTTGACCTGGTAGGGATTGAAACCATGACCTTACACACTATACCAACTTTTCGACTTGGTATTTCAACACATTAGATACAAAGTATGTAAATCTTCTGTTTATCAATATGTTGTAAATTTTAGGCATAGACAATAATAATGAAAGAACCTTAGTGAGCGCGCTCACATACCCCACGTCCCCACATTGTCATTGGAGAAATAAAATAAGTGTAAGGAAAAAAAATTGTATCAGAAAAAAAAAATTGAATCATAATTTCCTGTCAATATGCACATCTACATAGTATGTCCTTATTATCTACACAGTTTCATGAAATTCTGTTGTGTGGTTTGAGAGGAGTTGCGATGACAAAAGGTTGCAGTAGTAAATTGGGCAAATAAGTTCAAAGGGGCATAACTCCTTGAAAAAAAAATGAATTGTAATTTCCTGTCAATATGCACATCTACGTAGTATGTCCTTATTATCTGAAAAGGTTTCATGAAATTCTGTTGTGTGGTTTGAGAGGAGTTGCGATGACAAGAAACAGGACTGATGGACTGACGGACGGACAGACGGACGGACGGACAGACAGACGGACGGGTCAAAAACATTATACCCTCCGCAACGCGTTGCATGGGGTATAATAAGTATTTCTAATAAATCATCTTTACCCACCAAGCAAATAGCTTTATATTATCAAATATTATCAATATCACATACTTCTGCTTTTGGTCATATCTGTTCTGTATGATATACTAGGTACTCTCTTTTGAGCTAAAGCAATGCCTAGGCTGAAAAGACAAAAAAAAAAACCCAAAAGGTAACATTTAAATACCAGAATGTATACTTTTGTGACTAAGTATTTTTGCATGCCAAAATTATGAAACTATTTCAAATGAGGCCCTAACTCACACATATGGAACATACCTCTGCCAAGTATCATTTTAACTGTGGTTCATCCCTTGATATGATAAATGTTTCAGTGACATTTGAATTTTTTATACTGCTTTCTCATTATAATGATCATTTGTGTACTAAGTTTAAAGTTGGTGTTACAACTTCATGTTTAACATGATATGCATTGATATGGGACAGATGCTCAGACCCCAAACTACAATGCCCCTTTTATCATAAGTGGGGCATAGCAAAACAACTTTCAACAAAACACCATGTGTTTAATAATACACTAACCTAAATTCTGTCTCTGCAATTTTAGAATAATAAAAGGTGTAGTTCCTCACTGCAATTCTCTTCTACAACAATTCAAAAAACAAACTTTTATTTACACATGTATAAGAATTCTGGAGATTTACTAATATTTTATGAACTAGTTTCTGCACTATATTTTACTTGCATTACATGCAGTGAAATTGTGAATTTTCTATTTTTATCACCAATAATTTGCCACACCAGTATTTTACCATGGCTAATAATGATCAGGACTGGGACAAGCACTATAGCTGAATCTTTGTCAGCCAGCTTTTAAAAAACAGTACTAAATTATTTGAAATTGGTTTTAAAATTGAAATTCATGCTTTAGATGAGAACATTTCACAACGGTGATGCTTTAAAAAAAGAATACATCACAAGTTACTTGAAACAATACAACACACTTGTGAAATATCTTTATTTTATAAATACCTTTCCAAATTCTGGACAGTTGTTATCAACATCATAAGGCACTTTTAATGTTAGGGTAATTGGTTCTCTTTTCTTCCCCAATAATAACTTTGTTCTCATCTAAAAATAAATGTAGATATTTACAAATAGAAAGCTAAATTAAAATGAACTTTCCGTGAAAACATATAATCATTTCATCCATCCTTCTGAAATACAACTTTTAAAACAAGTGCGCTGTTTTTTTTAATCTGAAATCCAATGATAATTTAATTGCAATGTGGACACTTGAATAATGTTCTACTGTCAAACTAAAAAAAAATGCAGACACTATTTCCACAGGAAAAATTTAAAATTTTTGTTTAATATTTACTTCAGCCATGGTTTATTTCGTAAAAATAACTAACCAATCTAAAGAAGTAAAGAATGCTGTTAATTAAGTTGAACAAAAAAAACCCCAATAAAAATCAGACTTCAAATAATCAAATACAACTTAAAATTATTAAAGTAATTTCTTATAGTTTGTAATGGTGAAACTGTGCAATGCATATTTTTGACAAATGTGCTAAAAGTTTGGAATAAAATATTTCATACAGCAACCTAAACATTGTACATCATATATCACCTGCTGTAAGAGTTCATCATCCTGAGAATATTCTACATCAGTTATATCAACATTTTGAAAATTGGGATGCAATTCTTGAATTTTAGCTGGGTTTGGATTAAATCCATCTTCTGGATCTTGCTGAAAAATAGAACAAAATTACATTTAAATACAGTGATCGCCTAATCTTTTTTTATAAATATTTTGCTTTCAAATGTGGAAATGAAAGAAAGCCCTAAAAACAAAAATATAATAAAAACTAGAGGCTCTAAAGAGCCTGTGTCGCTCACCTTGGTCTATGTGCATATTAAACAAAGGACACAGATGGATTCATGACAAAATTGTGTTTTGGTGATGGTGATGTGTTTGTAGATCTTACTTTACTGAACATTCTTGCTCCTTACTATTATCTCTATCTATAATGAACTTGGCCTGGTAGTTACAGTGGAAAATATTTTGTAAAAATTTACAAAAATTTACAAAATTTATGAAAATTGTAAAAAATTGACTATAAAAGGCAATAACTCCTTAAGGGGTCAATTGACAATTTTGGTCATGCTGACTTATTTGTAGATCTAACTTTGCTGTACATTATTGCTGTTTACAGTTTATCTCTATCTATAATAATATTCAAGATAATAACCAAAAACGGCAAAATTTTCTTAAATTACCAATTCAGGGGCAGCAGCCCAACAACGTGTTGCCTGATTGGTCTGAAAATTTCAGGGCAGATAGATCTTGACCTAATGAACAATTTTATCCCCATCAGATTTGCTCTAAATGCTTTGGTTTCAGAGATATGAGCCAAAAACTGAATTTTACCCTATGTACTATTTTTTAGCCATGTCGGCCATCTTGGTTCGCGGGCAGGGTCATCGGACACATTTTTTAAACTAGATACCCCAATGATGATTGTGGACAAGTTTGGTTAAATTTGTCTTAGTAGTTTCAGAGGAAAAGATTTTTGTAAAAGATTACAAAAATTTACGAAAAATGGTTAAAAATTGACTATAAAGGGCAATAACTCCTTAAGGGGTCAACTGACCATTTGGTCAAGTTGACTTATTTGTAGATCTTACTTTGCTGAACATTATTACTGTTTACAGTTTATCTCTATCTATAATAATATTCAAGATAATAACCAAAAACGGCAAAATTTCCTTAAAATTACCAATTCAGGGGCAGCAACCCAACAACGGGTTGTCCGATTCATCTGAAAATGTCAGGGCAGATAGATCTTGACCTGATAAACAATTTTACCCCCATGTCAGATTTGCTCTAAATGCTTTGGTTTCAGAGATATAAGCCAAAATCTACATTTTACCCCTATGTTCTATTTTTAGCCATGGCGGCCATCTTGGTTGGTTGGCCAGGTCACCGGACACATTTTTTAAACTAGATACCCCAATGATGATTGTGGCCAAGTTTGGTAAAATTTGGCCCAGTAGTTTCAGAGGAGAAGATTTTTGTAAAAGTTAACGACGACGGACGACAAGTGATGAGAAAAGCTCACTTGGCCCTTTGGGCCAGGTGAGCTAATGAAGAGCCTCTTTTCTCCCCCAATGAGAAGACTAGACTTGACAAGCCTTGTAATTAAAATTGAACATCAGGAATATGTCAAATAAATTAGACATATTGAAATTTTTATTACATGCAGATCTTGTGCACAAGCCTAAAAATGTAAAATGCTTAAAGTATTTGCCACTGGATATTGAGCAAGCAAGGATGAATCAGTAAATCAGTATCAACTATAATCAAAGTGTTTAAGAAAGTAACTCTGACAGGTAATGACCAAAGTTCAAAAAGCATAATGGAGTTTCCTTACAGAGCATAATGGGGATGATAACAGCAGTTTTAGATTTCAGTATAAAATACATTTTGACAGGCAGTGCAGGCCTCAAACAGTAGTTCTGTTGATAGAGGTGCAGATGTGAATGAAGCATTTTCTGTGTCTGATCTTGATTTCTTATCCTGAATTAAACTAAATTTCAATTATTTGACCAAATTTTTTATACATTACTTTTTGAAATATTGTCTTGCATCCAGTCATCAAATAATGGAAGTTTATGGTCCAGAAAGAATAAACCTAAGAATCTCAACTGAAACAAGCATTCTGAGAGTATTGCATGGCAATACATAATCCCCTGCCGGTATAAAATTCATGGTATAGGAACAAAATGCTAACTTGATCTATAACTTGTCATGGTGTAACTATATAACAAATATCAAGTCAATATCTTCAAGCATGACGAAAAAAAGTGTTGAACACTGATTATTTAAGTGAATTTTCCAAGTCCAAGGACCATAACTCTGCACAGATTTATCAGACCGGAACAAAATTAGAACTTGATCTGTAACATGTCATGATAAAACTATATATCAATTATCAAATCAATATCGTCAAGCATGACGAAAAAAAGTGTGGAAAACTGATTATTTGAGTGAATTTTCCAAGTCCAAGGATCATAACTCTGCACAAAATCATTAGACAGGAACAAAATTTGAACTTGATCTGTAACATGTCATGATAAAACTATATATCAATTATCAAATCAATATCTTCAAGCATGACGAAAAAAGTGTGAAAAACTGATTATTTGAGTGAATTTTCCAAGTCCAAGGACCATAACTCTGCACAAAATCATCAGACCAAAACAAAATTCGAACTTGATCTGTAACATGTCGTGTTAAAACTATATATCAATTATCAAATCAATATCTTCAAGCATGACGAAAAAAAAGTGTGGAAAACTGATTATTTGAGTGAATTTTCCAAGTCCAAGGACCATAACTCTGCACAAAATCATCAGACCAAAACAAAATTAGAACTTGATCTGTAACATGTCGTGTTAAAACTATATATCAATTATCAATCAATATCTTCAAGCATGACGAAAAAAAAGTGTAGAAAACTGATTTGTCTGACTGACGGACAGACAGACAGACAGACGGAGTGCAAACCTAAAGTCCCCTTCGACTTCGTCACTAGGGGACTAATAAGCTGATGGTGTATCTTTATGTAAACATTATTAGAGAAGGGTACAAATGATGCAATGAAATAATAGTGAGGAAAGCCATGCAATATTTTTGGGTAGATAAATGTATCAGTCCAAGATAATTGTCCAACAAGATGAAGATAACTGAGGAGATAAAGTAAATCCATAGTTCAATTCTACTTTTCTTTTACAAATCAAATTTTGAATATGATCCACAGGTTACTTAAAAGTAATGTTGAACATATAACGGCATTACCAATTTGCAAAGGTTATAGACTTTGAAAGTTAATCCCATAAAATGGACTTACCTTCAAAAAAGTTGGCTGGAAGTTTGGATGGAAAAGAACATATCCCTGATGAGTTACTACAAAGGCATAAGCATTTGGACCTAACTGAAATAAAACATCAAATTTAAATGAATACAGGAATACATAATAGTATGTTTTCTGTCTTAAATCATTATATCATTGGTCAATTAATGTTTGCTACTGGTGCTCAAAATTATAAATTTAGATATTTTTCCCCAGTGTTTTTTTTTTACAAATTTGAACTTTGCTAGTAAAGTTTTTCCTAGCAAATCATCCATGTATCTAAACCCTATGTTTGGCCTACAAATGTTGCTGAAAGTGTGAAATGTAATGTTGAATTTTAAAAACATAAGCCAAATTATCAGTAAAATTGGAGAGAAAAAAAATTTTTTTCTCCGAAAGCTTCTGATAATTTAATTCTGATCTCCATTAGTAAAACTAGCTGATTTCATAACCACTATAAGAAACAGTTATGAGTTCATTATTTTAACAACTGTTAAGAGATTTGTCATTAAAGTAAATTCAAAATTCCCTAAACCTACCCTATTATATGGTATTAAATCCTGAATTTGCCAAAACCTACCCTATTATATGGCATTTAAATCCTTAATTTGTTGCCAAAATCTACCTTATTATATGGTATTAAATCCTGAATTTTTTTAATTTGTTGCCAAAACCTACCCTATTTTATGGTATTAAATCCTGAATTCATTATTTTAACAACTGTTAAGAGATTTGTCATTAAAGTGAATTCAAAATTCCCTAAACCTACCCTATTATATGGCATTTAAATCCTTAATTTGTTGCCAAAACCTACCCTATCATATGTTATTAAATCCTGAATTTGTTGAATTTGTTGCCAAAACCTACCCTAATATATGGTACTAAATTCTGAATTTTTAGAATTTGTTGCCAAAACCTACCCAATTATATGGCATTAAATCCTGAATTTGTTGAATTTGTTGTCAAAACCTACCCTATTATATGGTAATAAATTCTGAATTTTTGGAATTTGTTGCCAAAACCTACCCAATTATATGGTATTAAATCCTGAATTTGTTGAATTTGTTGCCAAAACCTTCCCTTTTATATGGTATTAAAATCCTGAATTTGTTGCCAAAACCTATCCTATTATATGGTAATAAATTCTGAATTTTTTTAATTTGTTGCCAAAACCTACCCTATTATATGGTATTAAATCCTGAATTTGTTGAACAGTAACATCAGTTCCTGCTACTCCTAATAGTTTACTCTCATTCTGAAATAAAAACATTGTTCTTATGAATAGAAGAAATGTGGCGTATACATCAATAAGACAGAAACCAAACAAACAAAATAACCAAAAGACATTTTAAAAGCAATATACACTATTTTTGAAACAACTGATCCGAAATGTTTGGACTAAAATCTTACTGAATGACAAAATAGAAAAAGGTAAATTCTGCACAAGTTACATTGGTTTCTTTCCATAAAATTATTTTGGGAAACTAAATTTCCCAATCAGCAGCTTATTGGCTTTTTCTATATCTGTATTTTCAACACAAACTCAGAAGTCAATGTGAAATCCCTTCTTTTCAAGCAAAACATAGTATGCAATTTGAAGGTAAATGCTATTATGCAGATATCATGAGACAATCAAATCATAAAATGGGTAATAAAAAGAAAGACTGAAGAACACTTTTGACTATTTTGTGTACATATATTTATAAAGGATTCAAGGTCTTCTAAAACACAAGCAAACTTAACTTACAGCTAACACTTACATAAAAGCCTTTCAAGTCATAAACTGGTGCTGCAAATGATACAATATACTGTAATCCCTGAAATATACAAATATATATGTAATACAGACATATTCATCATTTTTTTCTCTCTCTACAAAACCTTTATTATTGGCCTATTTAGGGTATACATGTTAATGCTATATAAGATAAGCTAGACAAAACCCTTTCTAATTCACTTCCTCACATGTGGGTCATGACATATACAAGACAGTCTTATCTTATTAATATTTCATTAGATCTGATCAAAGCAAACTTGAGTTATAGTTTTAAATGTGGATAAAAATAGAAAAACAAAGTAAATGAGGTATCCATCCACGAAACAAAATCAGTACACGCACAGCAAAAAACACTCAAAAAGCAAAAGAACAGCGCTTTTATTGCTGTTCTTCATCTCAAAGTCACAGTGAGGCCTTCAACATGGAACAAAAAAAACCCCTCATTTTTCAGTAAGTTCAATACAATAAAGTACAATTTGTCATTATCCAAAGCTAACTATCATCATTACAAAGATTATGTAAAATTATTAGATAAGGAAAAAAAATTATGTAATTGTATAACACATAAAAAATGGAGTTATCTGTAACTCTGGAACAACTATTGCAATTGATTTTAGAGCAAAAAGCATGTGAACAGTAATTAATCCAAGGATTATCACACATTCTATGAGACTTGGTGTTAAAGCAAATTTCTCTAAGTTGTGTGCATCCAAAGAGGTCCTGACCAGTTTGATTAGCCACACATTGATTAAATTTGTCTCATGTAATAACCCTGCTGACTACAATACTAAATCATTCTCAATAGTTCAAATTTTTAAATGCTCAGTAAGCCTCACATTTCAAAGTTTAAATATTTTTAACTCTAGTGAGAGGATAAATATCCCCAAAACAATGGGGTTATGTTGTGGAAACTGTTTGTATAGCTATATGTGTAAAACTTGTGTTTGGGATGATATATACACAGTGTCAAAGTTATCTTGTAGTTTTGCCTATTGTTAAAGATGTTGACCTCTAGATGTCTGTTTTTTTTTTGTGCTAATGAGTTACTGTCACAAATCAAATATAAATGTTTATTATACCCTGTCCTTGTTATCGGAGACCTCTGTTATATAGTCTGCATACAGTGAAGTCCATATATAGTTCTTTGTTCTACCGAAAGCTAAAGGTCGACTCATCACTTTTATATATTCCTGCAATGAAAAGGATTATTCTAAATTTGAAATTCCTTATTAATAATTATTTAGTTTTTTTGTTAATAATTTGAAAGATTTATAGAAATTGCATATTTTTATTATAATAATTGATGCCTTTACCCTCGCTCTAAAATTCAAACATTAACGAATTAACACATACGCCTGAAGAGTAACTGAAAGAGTGAATATTTTATAAATATAATAATAGAAGAGTAATCCAAATATTTTTTGGGTTCTTTTAATCTTTTTTACAAATATGTTATAAGAAAGGTATGAGTGAGATCAATTACAATGAAATTTTCCAGATGATTTTCATTTCTGGGGACATAACTCGTCCTAGACCTTGCTGAGGTGAACTTCTCTTGATACATTTCATAAAAATTGGACAAGAAATGTAGGTGAGAGAGTACTTGCAATGGAATTTTCAATAGAAAATATATTTCAAATTGATATAATTCCTGTTAAAACAGTTGACCAGCACTGATTTTGAACTCATCCAAGACATTACTGATATGAACCTATAAATTTTAAAATAAAAATTCTGACAAGAATTGTGGGCTCAATGTCACTGTGATACAATCCAAAATTTCCATAGAATTTACATTTCAAAGGGACATAACTCCAGTAAAAATAATTGATTTGCATTGACTTTCAAACCCATCCGAGATTGCTAATGTAAACCTTTTATGTTAATTTCATAATAGTCCTACAAGAAATATATGCTTGAGAGTGCTTTCAAAAATAAGAAAAAATATTTGAGTAACCATTTTTTGTCAGAAAATAAAGTAATAACTTATTGCTCAATAAAACAATGTAAGAACAAATTACTTATGAAGTGCCCTTATGATAGAATTTTCCATATCCAAATCATACTAGTGCTCCTGATATTGAATTTCTGATAAAAAATTCCAACTTGTAAAGTAAGTAGACTGTCAATCACAGGAATTGAATGGCAAGAATGTTTTTTATTACGATGCACTTGCTTCATACTAACAACCTTTTAGCAAATTGGTATTGACCTTTTAAAGAAGCACAGTAACATCTTTAAACTCTTTGTTCATTAGGATATACAGACAGATAAAGCAGCAACCAAAAGATTTTCTAAAACTTTTTCATGAGGTCCATTGTTATAAATTAACCAAATCTATTTATTTTTAAAGATTTTAGATTCATCATTGATTTAATATAAGTACACTGAGTACACTGCTGTCATGTAAACAATAAGAAAGTCATGAATTTGAAAAAATAAAACATGTATATGTATGAGAATAATTCCTTTCTCAGGATGAAGTATGATCGTTAGCGTAAGAGCTGTCTTATAATTTCAGAAATTTTAATAAGTTGTGTTTTAGACAGTAGATAAATGGTAGTAATTGTATAAGTTTCGTGATTGTGAGTATGAATGTAAATTATGTAATAGTTTAGCCAGGAATTATCTTCTTTTTTTATTTACAATTCAAATCGATAAATTCAAATCTTGGCTACAACTAAATTTTATCTCACAGTCTATATTTTTTTCCAGCTCTTAAAATCAAATACTACGTTTTTATCTGAAATGTTCAAATAAAATGCATTTTATATGAAATTCAAATATTTTTTAAATTTCCTGCATTTTCGGCAGATACAGTAATCTGAGTACTGGTAAGTGTAATAGCTAAATATTAAGGTTATATTGAATTTCAATTTTTTTTCTTATTTTTTGCATCGCTTTGATATTATTTATATTTTCATAATTCTGAAGTTATAAATATTCACATTATAACATTGAATATCAATTTAACTACACTGGTTAACTTCAAACTTATTTGGATTTTTTTCTGTTTGTTTCGAAATTCATCTTTTCTTCAGTTTCATTCTTTATCCTTTCAAGTCAATAAATGTGCTTAGGAGCAGTTGTAACTCATTTATAGAAATTCTATGTTTTGAACTGTAAATAGGCCTAAACAAAAGGATAATCCATTACTGAGAACCTGATTTACAATCATTCTTCACAATAAAGGAAAAACCAAATCCTATAATTTCATTGGTCAAGAGCACTTTTTTATATTCTAAATAAAATTTTAAATCAATTTCATAGTCTTGCTTAATTTCAAACATAATAAAGTTTCAACACTTTCCATTGACATTCTTTGAATAATTTAATAACAATAATATGTGTCCATAGGACCCTGATGGCACTATCATATGGTTATGTTCAGTGAATGGTGAAATCAGGGCTAAAATCTGAATTTTTATATAACTTTTAAAGTTCACATCATAATTAACATGTATACTAAGTTTCAAGTTGATCTGACCACAACTTCATTGTAAACTATCTTAACCAAAAATTTTTAACCTGATACAGGATGAACAAGTGAAACTGAGCTACTACTCACTGATGATACCCCCACCTCCCAATGTAAGTGTTCGGTAAACAGGAAGTTGTTGAGTGATGAATCTGAAAACGCATCACATGGTATAGCTGACTTATATAAACCCTGAAACCAAATTTCAGAAATCCTTGTAATGTAGTTCCTGAGAAAGATGCGACGAAAAATATTCATGGGACGGACGGAAGGACTGACGGACTGATGGACAGACAGAGGTAAAACAGTATACCCCACTTTTTTAAAGCAGGGGTATAATTAAAGGACAGATGGAAGAACATACCAGAAAACATTATACCCATAACTACAAAACATTGGACATAAAAATACAATTACAATCAGATTTATTCCTTCCTGATTTTAACTGTAGACATCATTCTTTGCAAAATAAATATTAAAACCTCATAGACTTGACATCTGAGATTAGAAAATATGCATGAGTCACATTTAGGAAATTAATACTACCTGAACGTTTTCTTGAACATCTGCTAGGGTAGATATGTGTGTATAATATCCTATAAAATAAAAAAAGGCTAGTGTTTGAGTATGGTTTAGCTTTAATTACAGCCATCAAGGATAATCTGGCAATGTCTAAATACTGTGATAAAATATAAATGGGGATTGTACATGATACATCATTCTCTAATAAATATATCACAAAGCAAACAAACAGCAGTCTGATGGCTGTTTATCTCATCAAGGTCATATCCTGATGCAAGTTCTAGAATATAATTAAAAGGAGATGTTTGGTGTACATTAATAAAACAGCAGGCCTATACAAATAACCAAAGGACATCCATAAGTCAATATATAGTCTTCATCAACAGACAGGTGTCCTTACATAATGTCAAGTTCTAAATTGCACTTAGTGCAAAAAGTTGACCACAAGTGTATTCCAGTTAATTTCAAAAGGTATATGTACAATGTTGCAAAATATAGTATATAAAGAAATATGAAGAATATTTGACATCAATATAATGTTATTAATAAGATTGAAATATCAACATTTTTTCACAAAAATATTAATCAAAGCAAGAATGTGTGTTCTAGATCTGCCAACTATCCCGATTTATGGGGATTGTTGACCTGAATTTTGAAATTCTTTATTATAGAAACAGAACACCTCAAAATAGGCATTCAAATGAGTTTTAAGGGTATTTAAGCACATATATACTCATTTAAACATTACAGTAGTAGATTAAGAACACTTATGACAATATTAAAGGAGCATAAGGTCCTCTTGTGCTTAAAATCCCCCATGGAGATTTTGAAAAGTTGGCATGTATGGTGTTCATGCAACTCTATGGTAAACTACCTTAACCAAAAACTTAAACCTGAAAAGGGACAAACTAATTGACGGATGGATGGACAGACCAGAATAAAATAATGCCCCCTTTTTAATTAAGTAGGGCATTAAAAGAGGGAAAAGATACCAAGTGGGCAATAAAAAAAAACATAAGTCAACTGATTTTCCTGTAGTTTGTCTGAAATCTCAAATTATCAAATTATCAAATTCATGTTATCTTTTTTGTGATAAAATTCTCATTTTTGGTACAGATTTCACAAGTATATCACCTGCTATATTAGAAGGTATGATTGTTTGTTGATTGCTTAACATCCAGTGACAAATATTTCACACATTTTTTAGGGTTTTTTCATTACAGATTCCCTGGAACCTAGTGTTTTGCCTGCTCTTTCTGTGGTCTATAAAGTTTGAGACATTTGTTTCAAATTTAAGTCTGTTTATAAAGATTTATTAAAATTATATCTGTTATATTTCTGAATCTTTCAACATCTTCTAACGACTGAATTTCAAGTCTGCAAATAATCTGTTCCACTACTAAAGTGTGGTTATCAAAAATAATTCTAAATACTGGGGAGGAGCTGACAATGAAGACTGCTTGATCATATGAATTTTTTTTAGTAATAACCAATTCTATTTATCTAAACAAAAAATGTCAATACAAATCAAACAAAGTTACTACCTCTATTAGCATCTGCCATCCATTTTGCATTACGACTCTCTGATACTTCTCTTCCAATGAGAAATGTAAACACTCTGACCTTAAAAGAAAGTCAGTAACAATATCACTGCTAATGTTATATAACATGCAAGTCAAAGCATATACTGATATAAACTGTACAGTACAAGTCATTTTGTGTACTTGTGTGATACAGACTGACAATGACATCTGGCTATATATATGCTGCAACAAAAAAAATTATTCAACTATTTCGAGAATGTACAGTCATTTTTTCAAAGAATATATGACAAACATCAAATAATAAAAAGAAAATGGACCACAAAGGAATAATTAATCATGTTGGTTGCTTTTACTCATTCTGAACGTAGCTGTAGGATCTCCAAAAACTTTTAATCTGTACTATACAGCAAAATTAAGAAGGTCTCATGGTATACACCTTTTTAAGGAATTACATGCATATATTACGGTATTAGAAGCATATTTGCTTGACATTCACATTTAACAAATTCGGTTTAACTTTGTTGCCGTTATACTGCAGTTGACTAAATACGATTATTACCGATTTATTACTTGGCCAATTGTATTCCTGAAAAACTTTTTCATAACTTTCAGGAGCTCCATCAGTGATTAACATTAAAGCTTTGTTACATAGTTTAGGATTTTCAGTTTGTTTTGATTGCTTTGACTGCTCAGAATTATTTGATAAATTTGACTCCACCTGCAAAAAATAAAACAAGGTTAAAATCATTCATTAAAAGTAAGAGTAAAGGTACTGAAGCATACCAGATACAGAGACTGATAAATTAGTTGGTAAACAGAGTTTTGTCATTCTTATGTGTTTAATCTATGATTTTACAACTTTTAAACATCTACCTATGAATGAACAGTTTAATGATTTAAAAACTTTGTATTACTTTTAGGCTTTTAAATAGCATCGACAAAGGAAAGTATTGAACACAGTATTGTTAGTCTAAAATCAAATGTATGAAATTTCTTTGCCAAATTCATTGTTCTCATAGCATTTGAAATTTTTCCTGAATTACAAGTACTACAACATTGGTATATTGTAAACCAACTTATTTTCAGGGAAACTCTCTTTCACTGCAAAGTATGTTTTATTTTCCCCAATTTTTAACTCTGTATTATTTGGCCAGCAACTAACTTATTTTAAGAGAAACTCTCTTTCATTTCAAACTTTGTTTTATTTTCCCCTATTTTTAACTTTGTAGTATTTAGCCAGCTATCAAATAACAAGGGTGTTAGGAAGCCCCTGCACCACATTCACAATGAACAAAACCCAGCATGTAAATAAATTAATCAAAAATAAGTTGGTTTACAGCAAATTTGATAATTGAATATAAGTTGCTTTACAGCAATTTGATTGAACGCTTTAGAAAAAAATAAATAGTACAATAAAGTTGATCAGTGAAGATTCAAAACCAATTTTATTAAACTGGTGATATAGACGATTTCCCATGAGAGGACAGCCAGGTGGCGCTGTCCAAGGTCATTGCGGTCACGTTGTTGTCCGATGTCGTACGTGCATTTTAATGAGCTTGATTAGTTTTTCGACATTTTTATCTGTTGTATTATTTTGTTTGATTTTTTGTATTTTCTCTTATTGATTAACTTTTTTGATTGATGCAATGATGGATATTCCGTAATTTTTGTGTGATGGCTTAAAAATCGTGTGGATTTATTGGATTAACACTGCTATTGACCAAAGTGGTCAACAAAATGGTGGAAAATAATATTGATCAATCGACGTCCGAAAGGAACAATTTTGCCGAAATGGTGAAACGTCGTACAAAAGAAATTTATAAAATGAAATCAGGAAAGGTTTCTGAAACGGTGGGAAACCACGATACTGATATTAACACTAGAAGTGTAATGCATAGAAGTTCAGATGCAATGCGCATGTCCGCGGGAAGTGGTATACTGCGCATGTCCGGGAACCCGGAAAGTGAAAGTGAAACTAACGGGAGTGAAAATAATAAAAGTCCAACAATGAAAGACATGATGGACAAGTTTTCCAGCATGGAAAAATCTCAAACAGAGATTATGGCTAATTTAGCCATGAACATTCTGCAATTGCAAGACAAAGTCAGTGGCAAAGAGTTGAATAAAGCTATAACTCATCCACAAAAAGAGTCCGATAGGACAGTAACTGTCAGTGATAGTGACATTCCTGAATTATCAGACATATCAGATGACGGTATGGAGTCTGAGGAGGAACAAGATGACCAAGATGTTGGTTGTTCTTTAGACCAAATGCTAGATGAGGTAGACCAAGACTTCTTTCTAGAGTTAGAGAAAGAATATGAAGAGGACAAAAAGTTTGGTCCTGCGATTGACAGTGCTATGGCAAAACTTGCTGAAACAGCCATTGAGAAACCGTTAAAAGACGAGGAGTATCAAAAGTTAACAGACAAATATTTGGTGCCAGAAAATTGTAAAAAGATAAAGGTATATTTTCAGATTATATATTATATTGCTGTAGGTATAAGTTAAGATTAAAGCAAAATATAGCAAAAAAGTATATCTATATATTGAACGATAATGGTTTTGAGACTGAAGTTCGTTTTTAATCAACGGTAATATTAATTCTATTATCATGATTAAATGGTCAAGCATTTATGAATGCTCAATTGATTTTTTAGGTACCTCTGGTAAACAGAGAGTTATGGAAGTTGTTAAAAACCAAACGAGAAGGAGATGTGGGGATGCAGAAGGTGACTCAAGACATGTAGTTCAGCATTAGTCATGGTACTCAAGGCTTTGAACATTATTAAGACTAAAGGGGACATGAGTGAAACGAAACCCATATTCAAAGATTTGTTTAAAGTTCTAACTCATGGGATATGTACGGCAAACAGGAAAAGAAAGCAGATGATAAAACCTATAGTCCCAGGAAAATACAGGAAATTGTGTGAAGTAGACACACCTGTTACAGAATTTTTATTCGGTGACAACCTGGGTGAAAAAGTAGACAAACTGGACAAAGATGACAAAAGGTCAGACAAGTTATCTATGGAATCAGGAGGTGTTTTTTTAGGGAAAAGAAAGCACAATTGGTCAAAGGACAGTCATTGGGGTCCGGCAAAAGACAAAAACTGGCCAAAAGACAAATTCTGGCCAAAGGACAAATTCTGGGCAAAAAACAAAAAGAAACTAAAGAAACCAAAGACAATGCATTAAATGCATCTGTAAGTACTTGTATGTTCAAGTTATACAATACTCCAGATAATTTTATTGGAGGACAGATTTCAGTATTTATTCACAACTGGGATTTACTAACTTTGGATAAATGGATAAGAAATGTTTTAACTGGTTATACTATTGAATTAGACAATATACCATTCCAAATAACTATTCCTAAAACAATTGAATTTAACGAACACGAAAGTAATTTAATTCAGAAAGAAATTGAAAAGTTTTTAAGGAAAGAAATTATTGAAAAAGTGTCAAATACATGTAATGATACTCATGGATATTATTCTAACATTTTCATTAGACCAAAAAAGGACGGTAGTGTTAGAGTAATTTTAAATCTCAAATCATTCAATGATAATGTTGTCAAAAAACATTTCAAAATGGAAACTTTGCACACTGCTATTAACAACATTAAACTAAACCAATATATGGCTTCAGTTGACTTGAAAGATGCATATTATAGTGTGCCGATACAAGAAAGTGATAAAAAATATTTAAGATTTAGATGGAAAAATGATCACTACCTATTCAAACTACTTCCACAAGGGTTATCGAGCAGCCCAAGGGTTTTTACCAAATTGTTAAAACCTGTTTATAGAAAATTACGAGAAATGGGACATGTCAATGTGCCTTATATTGATGACAGTTTGTTATTGGGTGATACATATCATGAGTGTTTGAAAAATATTGAAGATACTGTTACTTTACTAGATGGATTAGGATTCACAATTCATCCTGAAAAATCAGTATTTTTACCTACTCAAGAAATTGTTTTTCTGGGGTTCATTATAAACACATTAAATATGACTTTACAGTTAACTTCTGAAAGGAAAAAGAGTTTAATAGAACAATGTAAACTGCTTCTCTATCAAAAGAAAGTAACAATCAGAGATTTAGCAAGAGTAATAGGAAAAATGGTAGCTAGTGAACCAGGAGTGAAATATGCTCCTTTGTATTTCAAGGATTTAGAACATTTTAAAGATAAGTCCTTGAAAGGTAATCAAGGCAATTTTGATGCGATTATTGAGTTGGATATTAGAAGTAAGGAATTACTTCATTGGTGGATTGATAATATTATGTTCAGCTACAAGTCAATGACTATTTCACAACCTTCAGTTATTTTTTATAGTGATGCTAGTAAGACTGGATGGGGTGGTTTTAATAAAACCTACCAATTGACTGATAATGGGTTTTGGACTCATGCTGAAATATTGGAACATATCATTTTTTTAGAATTGAAAGCAGCTTTATCAACATTGCAATCATTAGGACATATGCTTCATGATACACATATACGTTTGTATGTTGATAACACAGTGGCAGTATCTTATATACACAATTTTGGGGGACGTATACCTTCTTTACATAAACTTAGTAAAGAGATTTGGCACTGGTGTGTTGATAGGAATATTTGGCTAAGTGTTGCACATATTCCAGGGAAAGACAATGTTACAGCTGACAAATTGTCTAGAAAACTTAATAAGGATATGGAATGGATGTTAAAACCAGAGGTTTTTGAGATAGTTGAACAAGTGTTTGGCAAAATAACAGTTGACTTGTTTGCATCTGGCATTAATAAACAAAAACAACGGTATGTGTCTTTTTTGCCAGATTTAAATGCAATGGCTATTGATGCTTTTACTTTTTCATGGACGAGTTCTGATGTTTTTTTATATTTTTCCTCCTTTCAGTCTTCTGGGAAAAGTGCTGCAGAAGTTAATTACAGACAAAGTCAACAAAGCATTGATTGTAGCACCAATTTGGACAACTCAAGTATGGTTTCCAATTCTTCTACAACAGACTTGTCAACAACCATACTTACTACCACAAAAAAGTTTAGTACTTCCAGGAAATCTACAAAAACTACATCCAGTGAAAAATCTTCAACTTGGGATTTTTTGTGTGTCAGGGAACATCTCAAAAGTAAAGGAGTTTCAAGCAATGTTGCCGACATCATTCTACAATCATGGAGATCTAGTACATCACAACAATATAAATCATATCTCAAGAAATGGAAATTATTTTCAAGTGAAAGGGAAATCAATTTGTTTGATCCCCCTACCGAAGTATTACTTGAGTTCTTAAATTCCTTATTTGAACAGAATGTAGGTTACAGTGGTATAAACACTGCTAAATCAGCTATTTCAGCATTGTGTAGTTTAGTTAGTGATAGAAATATTGGTAAAGAAACTTTAGTTAAAAGGATTATGAAAGGTGTTTTCACTAAAAAACCTAGTTTACCAAAATATAGTAAAATTTGGGATGTTAACAAAGTATTAACATATTTTGATAAAATACCGGACAATGAACAGTTGTCTTTATTAGAGTTATCGCAAAAACTAGCTATGTTGTTTATGTTATTGAGTGGACAAAGATGTCAAACTGTATATAAATTAGAATTAGATAATGTTCAAATTGAAGGAAACACAATGGTTGCTTATGTTAGTGAATTGTTAAAACAAACTAAACCTGGAGTACATATGAAACCTTTAGTATTTGATAGATATATTATCAATGAAAAATTGTGTATTTTGAGAACTTATGAGGAGTATGTAAGAAAAACAGAAACTCTTCGGAACAAAGAACAAAAAGTGTTTATTTCTACTGTTAAACCTTACAAACCTGTCACCAAAAGTAGTATTGCTAGATGGGTAAAAATTGTTATGAAAAGTTCTGGAATAAACATTGAATGTTTTGGTCCACATAGCTGTCATTCAGCATCAACCTCTGCTGCATTAGGTCAAGGACTTAAATTAGACACTATTATGAAAAGTGCAGGGTGGAAATCAGCAAAAACTTTTCAAAAATTTTATAATAAAACAATTATTACTGACAATGAAAGTAATTTAGCTCAAAAGATTTTACCATCAAGTAGTTAAATGTAAAATGTTTTGTTTTTATGATATATGTTATGATCATGATGATGGACATTAATGTACAAATGTATATATATGTTTATTAAAAGATATAATTACTTGAAATTTTTGGTAATAACATGGCCTAAAGAAGGTTTTTCAACAATTCAACGTGGATTGATGATCTAGTTGTGCTCTAAAATCTCATGGGAAATCGTATATATCACCAGTTTAATAAAATGTTTCAATTAATCGAAACATTTGAAGATTAATTATAATTTTATTAAACTGGTGATATAGATTTCACATGCCCACCACTTGGGATTTTCTTGTGAAATTGTACCCACCCTAAAATACAACTAGATCCTCAAGCTCTGAAGTATGACCTTGGACAGCGCCACCTGGCTGTCCTCTCATGGGAAATCTATATCACCAGTTTAATAAAATTATAATTAATCTTCAAATGTTTCGATTAATTGAAACATTATATGCTTCTAATTTAGCTCACACCATACAATACCTCCTCAAACAATTCAAATGCTTCTATTAAAGCTTTAGTAAAGTTAGCTTTCTGTCTAGGTTTAATATTTTTGACTTTCTCTAACATTCTTCTTTTGTTTGGCTCACTGGCATGTATTAGTGTTCTGTTAGAACAGCCTTCATCTACATAAGATGGCTCATCTGTAAACTGAAATTATAAACAACATCAAGATCTTTAAAAGAATCATTGAAAAATGATATGATACAGTTAAGAGAACCTTTAACTTCTATATGACAGACAGAAACTTCAAAACATAAGGCATCTACCCGCTATATATAAGGTATGAAGCAAACAGGCCTTCTACCCTCTGAAATATAAACCTTTATATAAATAGTTTACACCACAAGACGAGAATCCCTCTGTCTATCATGCTGTGACTTTCGCAGGTTGAAAGAATAATCCTTGATAAAAGAATTTATACCTATGTTTTCAATGTTGTTTTTAATGTATGTAATCATTTTCTGCAAAGAAAATAAAAAAATCGTAAGGGGTTCCGCTGAACCCTGTGCCTCACCTGTGATTGCTGCTGTCAGTGTAAAAGTGTAATGTTGACTTAAAAAGTGAGTCCATTTATCAATAAAATACAGAATTTACATAAAAATTCAACCTTTGTCTTTAGATGCTATTTCTTGGTCTTGAAGATTAGCTTTATCCAAGTCTCATAACAATCCATGAAGGTTTGCAAATGTATCATATCTTAAAAAATTTACTCCCAAAATTTGTCTGTAAATGTTAATTGTAAAAAACTAAGTCCAACTATCAGAAAAATACTGGAAATGAAAATATATTTTCAAAAGTTTGCTTCAGATATTATCTCTTAATCATAAAAAAGCTTGTGCCAAAATTTCATAAAATTCTATGAAGGTTTGACAAAGCAATTGATGTGTAACAAACTTTAACCCCAGACTGTATCTACTTGTTAACTTTAAAAAAAAAAACTTTGTCCATTTATCAGTAAAATTCGGAAAAATTTATTTTCAAAATTTTGCTCTGGATACTGCATTTTAGGCATTAACAAGCTTCTGTCCAAATTTCATAAAATTCAGTGAAGGTTTGACAAAATTATTGATGACTGAAAAACTTTAACTTTGGACTGAATCTGAAAGTTAACTGTAAAAAAAACTAAGTCCATTTATCAGTAAAATACGGAAAAGAAGAAAATAAATATTTTCAAAATTTTGCTCTGGATACTGTATTTTGGTCATAAACAAGCTTCTGTCCAAATTTCCTAAAATTCCATGGAGGTTTGACAAAGTTATTGATGTCTAAAAAAAACTTTAACTACAGACTGAACCTAAATGTTGACGCCGCTGCCACTGACAGAATCTAAGATCGCTATGTCTCGCTTTCGCGACATAAATGTCACAGGATCAACAAATACAATACCAGGCTTGCTCACTGCAAATTATGTTTACTTAGCTGATCTATTGATTCTATTGTAATTTTCTAAGGTAATGGTAATAAAAAAAGTCTCAATTATGCTAGGTATTAAAATTCTACAGGTGTAACCAGGAATGAGAGCAAAAACATCTGGATGTTAGTCAGGGCTTCCAAAATTATTTTTAGCCAGCCGGTCATTTTATATACTATCCTGATTTGAATCTCTTAAGACTAAATAAACAAAAGGCAATTATGGTAATCAGTTGCCGAGTTGGCCATCCCAATGATTGACATTAAAAAAAACCGATATTATTTAATTAAAACTTTCTTTGATTCAAATTCGAAGTTCTGACGTAAACTGTTAAATTGGCAGTGCAACATCAGCGTACTTATATCTGCTTTAGACTCTTTATTTGTGCAAAATAAGGTTGTCAAAAACTTTACTTTCGTTTTTAAAATACCGGATGTTGTCTTGACAATGGTAAAACATGGACCAGAGACGGATACGTAAATTCCGTGTACGTTTGCAAAGCATGAATGAGTGTAAGTAGCTCATTCTACGTTATTTCTTCTAGAAAATATTCGAAATAAACGTGAGAAAAAGGTATCAATGACAATTTAAGCATTTTTTGAAGACATTAGGATGCATAATTAAATTTCACACCTGCGCACACGTGTACTAGTTCAAACAGAGACATGTCTCTGGTTCAAACAACGTGGTTTTGACGATTTTTCATTTTCACCTTTTTAATTTTTTCATCAAATCATATTTGTTAATGTATTTCTGATAATTTAAATCTTTTTGACTAAATTAATTAGATGCAAACCGGTGAAATGTAAGAAAATAACTTTAAATAGACCCATCAATGTCCGGTTCAAAATAGTTTACCTGTCACCTGAACAGGTAAATTTCAGCTGTCCGACAACTAATTAGCCTTGATTAAAATGATAAGGTATTATAGTAGGGTTTGTTTTGATAGTACTTAATGATCATGTCACTTTTATGACCGGAAATGTGTGGCTGTTAAAGGCAAAAGGTTGGGTCAAAAAGATCGCGATTATGTTAAAATGACCGTCTCATAAGAAAGCCTTGAAAACTAAAAAGTAGATGACCGTTTCGTGCTTTGCCCAGCCGGACTTTTACCGGACATTATACAAATGTCCGGAATATATGACCGTTTTTGAAGCCTTGAAGTTAGTACATATAATTAATCATTTATTTACAGTGAAGTGGAAGCCAATGTGACAAATACCTATGATTTAAATTTTATATGTTAATGACAAATTTGTTTTCCCTATTTCTTCAATCTTTTCTTCTTTCTTTATAAAAATTCTATGTAAATTAAAAAATTGTTGGTTTTTTTAAATAATTAGTAATTATACTTTAGAAGTATAGCTTCTGACCACTTTTAATTCTAAATTACAGCAATGAAGATGCCAAATGACCAAACAGTGTAATTGTAACAGTAATTTTGAAGAAAAAAAAATGGGAAAATTCAGAGCATGTTATGTTGCATAAATGTTGAATATACTGCATAGTTTTTTACAGTTTTAGTACAGTGTGTATCTAGCTCTTTTTTAAATTTTGCCATTAAATAAAATCTAATAAAACCAGCATTAGGTACCATTAAGTTTAGTACATTGTGTTAACATCTGTAGAACACATAGCTAGATGTGTCAGTTGTAAATGGATTTGTATCATTCATTATTTGTAAATGGAAGTAATTTTCATAGAGGTAGTTAGTAAACCTTTTCGTATTTAGTTTCATAGCAAGCCAATAAAGTATGTAATAAAACTGCTATACTTTGCAATAAAACTTAAAGAAAATTGCTATATTTTCCCATGTGCCGATGTCAATATTGGGCAAGGTTAAAGGTTGTATGAACAGGTTTATAGTCAAATATTAAATGAAAAAGAGTTAGTTACTGTGGATTCTTTTATTTCAGTGGGTACTAATTTTTGTGGATTGAGGAAAAAATGTATTTTGGTGGATATTTGATTTCATGGTTTTTTCCAAAGTCTGCATACAAGCGTATATAAAATATGTACTTCGTTTAAATATTTAAATTTGTAGTCAACAAGACCCACGAAATCTACGAAAAATAGGTATCCCACAAATAACAATGAATCCACAGTAGATAGTGCCTACTTGTATAATATTAAAATGATCTTCATCACTTAGTGTCTGTAATATTTTATCCACTGTAGAATGTGTTATCTTCATACGTAGACCTTTCATACTGCCACTGGAATCTATCAATACTATAATATTCTTTGGAGTAGTTGCTGCTTTTATATACCTAAAATGAAAAGACAATCTAATTGTTTCATAAAATAGTCACAGTCTACATGTCAAAAAAGGTAGCCATACTGCTTTAAATCTACTGAATGCATGTAACTTCTGAACAAAAGTGTGCATATAAAAATAAGGAGATGTAGTATGATTGCAATTCAACTCTCCAACATTGACCAAATGATGTAGAAGGTAACAACTATAGGTCACTGTAGTTGTAGCCTGCCTTGTAAAAGTACTGCATTGGAACAAAAGGAGTTATTCTTTTAATAGGTTTCTCTATATGAATTGGATTAAATAAAACAGAATATTCACCAGAAGAAAAGTGATATTCTCCGCACTTAACATCTCTTGCTTTTTCTGTGTATAACTATGGTAAAATGTTTGATGTATAATTGGTTTTGGTAAATAATTATCATTAAATACATTTTCTTCAACTTGAAATATGGAATAACACAATTATTGTCTTTTCTTTCGGGAAATATGTGGTCTAATTGACTTTTGCAAAAAACTAATATTCATTTCAGCCTCAGTGAATATCAGTTTTTCAAAAGTCGAACAAAAGACAAGTATGCCTCATCAAAAGACGGTAATTTTATATGATTATCTTGGTGTCAAGTTTGTCTTACATTTCCATTTCTAATGTAAAAGCCAATAACAAATGAGGGTTCTAGATAAATTCTACGGCAAGTATATCTTGTTACTAAAATGGAGTCAGGTGGCCAATGAAAAAAAATCATAAAAACTTGATCGAGTAATGAACTCTGAAAGCTGAAAAGATTATATATAGGGCAAGGCAATTACAGACAGATAGGAGGCCTCGGTGGTCAAGTGGTCTAAATAGATCATTTACAGTGATCACCAGCCTGACAACTCTGGAGATTGTGAGTTCCAATCCAGATTGTGGTGAGGTGTGTTTGACTACAATATTATTTGACATGAATTGCCTGTTTTCCTAAAGGTTGGTGGTTCTCTCTATGAACCCATGCTCCCTTAACCCATAACAAGAGGCGCTCAAGAGCCTGAATCGCTCACCTGTATTTCAGAGGAGAAGATTTTTAAATGTTAGCAAACTTGATGAACAAATTGTGTAAAATTGTCTTTAAAGGGCAATAACTCCTTAAGGGGTCAATTGACAATTATGGTCATATTAACTTTTTTGTAGATCTTACTTTGCTGAACATTATTGCTGCTTACAGTTTATATATATCTATAATAATATTCAAAATAATAACAATAAACAGCTGCGCCATGAGCGCATGATACGCCCGTCGTCTTGTGTGTGAATTTTTATGCAATAAGCATAAATAGTTTCTGACATACGGCGTGACATGCGAAAACCCCCTTTTTTTTAACAAAAACTCAATATCTCTAAAATATAATTTTGAATCAAAACCAAAAAGTATACAGATCTTCAGATTAATATAACTAAGAAGTGTGTAAAATTTTAAGCAATAATCATAAATTGTTTTTGAGATACGGCGCGACATGTGAAAACCCCTCCCCCTTTTTTAACAAAATACTCAATATCTCTAATATAAAATTTTGAATCATCACCAAAAAGTATACAGATCTCTAGATTAACATAACTAAGAAGTGTGTAAAATTTTAAGCAATATTCATAAATCGTTTTTGAGATACCGTGCGACATGTGAAAAACCCCTCCCCCTTTTTTAACAAAATACTCAATATCTCTAATATAAAATTTTGAATCATCACCAAAAAGTATACAGATCTTAAGATTAATATAACTAAGAAGTGTGTAAAGTTTTAAGCAATAATCATAAATTGTTTTTGAGATACAGCGCGACATGTGAAAAAAAACACACACCTGTTTTAGTTACTAAGTCCCGTAACTCAAAAATTTTTTATCAAATTTTCACCAAAAAGTATACAGATCGTTTGACCATCATAAGAAACAACTATGTTAAGTTTCATGAAATTTGGATAAGTCAGTCTCAAGTTACGGTGCGACATGTTTACGCCGAACAGACAGACGGACAGACAGACAGACGGACGGACAGACAGACAGACGGACAGACAGACGGACAGACAGACGGACGGACGCCGGACATTTGTATAACATAATACGTCCCGTCAAAAATTTGACGGGCGTATAAAAAACTGCAAAATTTTGTTAAAACTACCAATTCGGTGGCAGCAACCCAACAATGGGTTGTTCGATTCGTCTGAAAATTTCAGAGCTGATAGATCTTGACCAATTGAACAAGTTTACCCCAAATCAGATTTGCTCTAAATGCTTTAGTTTTTGAGATATAAGCCAAAAACTGCATTTGACCCTTATGTTCTATTTTTAGACTTGGCGGCCATGTTTGTCGATGGATCAAAACTTCGGATACAATTTATAAACTAGATACCCTAAGGAACATTTAATTAAAGTTTGAAGGTATTTGGTCCAGTAGTTTCAGAGGAGAAGATTTTTGAAATAGTTTACGACGACAGACGACGACGGACGCCAAGTGATGGCATAAGCTCACATGCGGCCCTTCCAGCCCCGGTGAGCTAAAAAAAGGCTGACATAATATAGCCAAGGTTGGTGAAAGTGGTGTTAAACACCAACAAACAAAACAAACAAGCAAATATAGACTAAAGTACAAAGTTTTAGATATCAACATTAATAAAGAAGAAAATATGTAAAAACACTTTTACATTATAAGCATACAAGTCTCACCTGAAGTGACATATACAAGCAAGACAAGGAAATGTTGGATATATAGTCTGTTTAAATATAATAATCAAATAGATATCCCAACTTATTTGTACTTTAAATTAAACAATAAACATGGTAAATCTATAAAAAATGTGGATTGATCATCAAACTTTTCTTTTTTTGAGGCACAATTTCTTATTCATTATTTTAAAGCTTAGATCATAGATATTAAAAAAAATATAAAGCCTAGTTTATTCCTTGCTCACATAGAACATGTTGTTCATTTAGCAGTGAGCTCAATGGATGTTTAAATTTCAACAAGTGAAATCAAGACACAGTTTTAAAGGAACTATAATATCTTCCATAACAACTTAATTGTTTTCTAACCTGCTGTTCAATGGAAAATGTATGTTGACCTCTGGATGTTGTTTTCACATTTTGTTTTTAGGTTGCTCTTCAATTGACATATACCTAACATTTTGTTTTATTCCCAATTATTTAACCTAATAGACCGTTTGTTGGTGTGGTTCATAAGTGTTTCTGGTTTCTCGTTTTTTATATAGATTAGACCGTTGATTTTCCTGTTTGAATTGTTTTACACTAGTCTTTTTGGGGCCCTTTATAGCTTGCTGTTCGGTGTGAGCCAAGGCTCTGTGTTGAAGGCCATACTTTGACCTATAATTGTTTACTTTTTACACACTGTGACTTGGATGGATAGTTGTCTCATTGGCACTCATACCAGATCTTCTTATTTATATATACAATAGCTTACCAACTTCTCATTCTACAATCAAAAGTATCGATTCTCCCATCTGTATTATTCTTTGGCCATTTTATTCCTGTAATAAACAGAACATTAATCAAAGGGGTTACCTATTATTCTTAACTATCTAGATCCTGACTATTAAATGTACATCTTTTTCAAAACTGTTTTTCCTTCAAAAAAGAGTGTATTGAGATTGTAAGGTAATTTAGTTTAGAACTATAGCCCTCTTGCAGAACTGAAACCAGATTTTTGTCTTCTGTTTCTTTATCACTATTATTTTTTTCTGCATTTCAAAATCTATGTTGATTATGTCAATCTGGTTGTAAATAAGTGCTGCATAGACAGTAATCAAACTATTAACTCTCATAAAAAACCTACAGGGTAAAAATAAAACTAAATACAGAAAAATGATATCATGTTTAAACTTTGAAAATATCTATCAACAGCCAGTTCTACAGGTGTGACATACTCATGAATTCAGTTATAATGGTTCTTTTTTCTTGTTGATCTAAAAATTTTGAAAACTTGCTGGCTTCTCACTTAAATTCCCATCTAAATTAAAGTTTTGATGAAACTTCAGGAAACCTGTTAAAAGTGTTGTTTTTGACAAAATATTTAACACAGGAGGACTCTACAAGATCTGGTTGGAGACATTCATCCAATGTACTGCCCGAAGTGAAATAACTTTTAAGGGTTGACAATTTTGGATATTCATCGCTTCTAAGGGGCCACAATTGTTTTATTATACCGAATTAACAGTGGAAGGGCATTTTGAATCATTGTAAAAGCACTTACCCTTACTTGAGTCAGTAACAAACACTAGTTGACGGTCAAAAATACATGTAATTTGTGTCTTAGAATTCTCGTATGTACAACAAAGGTAGATTCTTTTTATAAAATATTGATGGCCCTGAAAAGGACCGTTATTAGAGATATCATCGGCACAAGATGCACGTCAAAAGCCTTATTTCCTCTTCTCTCGATCAATGGGCTTCCTGTAACTTGAACATTGCCATTTTGTTTATTTACGTCTGTGACATCATTTTCATGAGTACAAATCAACAAACTTAAAAGGTTATTCGCCGGTGAATAATAGGGTTATTCAACGCTGGTGTAAATTTTTAGGGTTATTCGTTCTTCCTTGCAATTGAATGAAAATTAACTGAATTATTCCATGTCACGTGATAACGTTTTACCCAATAGAATTGTTTGAAATATATGTAAGGTATAATAATAATAAATACAAACCTGGATAAATTCTGAAGAAACCATCTGAACTACAAAAGTACTGCCATTTTGAGGATTGGTCAGTTTTGTGATTTTTCTGGAATTGTCCATCTAAGGTCTGTGTCCAGTTTACACCATTCTGAATCTCTGGAGCTTAAATAACAAATGTGATCATCATAATTTTAATTTAAAGAAATCTTTGTAGTCTTTGTTCTTTAATTGGTATACAGTAGTTTAATCAGTATGTCAGTCTAGTATACAATAGTGTATTCAGTATGCAAGTCTTGTATAAACAGTAGTGTTTTCTTTATGTCAGTCTAGTATATTGCAGTGTATTCATTGTCAGTATAGTATACAGTAGCGTGTTCACTGTTCATCTAGTATACAGTTGTGTGTTCATTATGTCAGTATTGTATACTGCAGTGTTTACTATGTCAGTCTAATATACAATAGTGTATTCATTTTGTCAGTCTAATATACAATAGTGTATTCATTTTGTCATGCTAATATACAATAGAGTATTCATTTTGTCAGTCTAATATACAGTAATGTAATCATTGAATCAGTCTATTATATAGAATACTGCATTGACATTCTAGGATACTGCAGTGTATTCATTGTCAGTCTAGGATATGACAGTGTATTCATTGTCAGTTTAGGATACTGCATGGTATTCAGTGTCGGTTTATTCCCGATTGTCCCACTTTTTTATATTTTAGAGTTCTGATTGTCCCACCTGAAAAGTTCTGATTGTCCCACATTATTTTACGAAGTAAAATGTTCTTAATTAAACAAAGTTACTGTTGTTTATTTTGCTAAATAAACAAGAATTAATTATTACATGTTCAAACTATTATTTAATTTCAATTTTGTAAATGTATAAAATATTATGATTTTCTTTTTAAATCATCAGATTAATTTTGATTAAATAATATAACATTTCCGAGTTATGAAATATTTCTATAATGTTACGTTTCATTAAAAAACAAATATTCATACCGTAATTTAAATAACTTTTTTTCTAAGTTTTTGAATAAATTTAGAGAAAATGCATGCAATTTAAAAAAAAAAAGTTTAAACTCGTTTACACTGTACCCTCTATACGTGCACTTGTTGATTGAAAAATGATTCCACTAGTCTTTGCACTTTAACCACGGAAGGCAGATGACATTTACACAAGATTCTTTTTTACTACTGAAAACTGCATGCACCCAATGTCAGATTCACCTCAACCCAACAACTTTCTTCATTGATTACGAAGATGCTGTCCAGAATTCTACAAGATCAACCTTTCCAGGAATCACTACTAAAGGTTTTTTTTTTCAAATATAACCAGTGTATTTGGCGTAGCGCAGTCAACAGGACTCGTCACCAACTATAAAGGAGAATCAGGCATTATACGCAGGGCAGCAGTTCTTCCTCTTGTACCACATGCTGAAATAGAATACATCTGGTTCCATGCACTTGAAGACATGGAAAAATTTGGACTCAACATCAAATATTACTCAGTTTACAGACTACGTCACAATATACTTGGTTGAAAGCAACAGACAGCGATAGAGCTGTTACCAAACAGAAGGAACAAGGACGACAAACCACCTCGAAGGATGACAAAGAAGCATGAAGAAGATGATCCAAGAACAACACCCAAACATGTACACGTTATTGAACTACCTTAAAGAAGAGCAGGCAGCAAACGAAGTGACCATCATCTAGTACCAAGCCGTAGATCGTCTTCAGAATGGTTAATTTAGTGTTTTTAAGCATGCTAACATTGCCTCTTATTTGTTACACTTGGACTAAATTGTTTGCAATCATATGATGTGTTGTGTTGTGCTGTTTATGATATGTATTATGTGTGCTTTATTGTTGTACTTATGTATTATGTGTGTTTTATTGTTGTACTTATGTATTGTGTGTGCTTTATTGTTGTACCTTCTGCAGTATGTGTGCTTTGCTTTATAGTATCTGCTCTTTGTGTCATATGTGTGCTTTAATGAATTAAACTGTTTATTTTGTGTGCTTTAGTACACATTTATGTAGAATTGAGTAGTGCTTGATATGTGCTATTTTATGACTTAATATTATATTCTATGTTTGATGATACTTCAACTGTACCTATTATGTGCAAAATAAAACATGTTAATATTATTATTTATTCATGTTTATTTCATATTTCATATGTTACATTGATTAGTTACCTGTAATTACCTGCTACACACTATAAAACAAATTAATTACTATCACAACAATTCCCAATTGTCCCACATTTAAACTTCCCAATTGTCCCACAAACATATTCCCGGTTGTCCCACAAAATTTCATTACTTTTTTACCTGTAATTTCAAAAAGTGGCACAATCGGGAAGACACCTCAGTGTCAGTTAATTATACTGCAGTGTATTCATTATGTCAGTCTAGTATACTGCAATATATTCATTATGAGTCTAGGATACAGCATTGTATTAATGGTCAGTTTAGTATACTACATTGTATTCAATATGATAGTCTAGTTTACAGTAGTGTATTTATTGTCAATCTTAGTACACTGTATTGCATTCAAAATGTCACTCCAGTTTACAGTAGTGCATTTATTATGACAGTCTAGTATACTGTAGTGTATTCACTATGTTAGTCCAATTTACAGTAGTGTATTATGACAGTCTAGAATACTGCAGTATATTTATTGTCAGTCTAGTATACTGCAGTGTATTCAATATGTAAGTCCAGATTACAGATGTGTATTTATTATGACAGTCTAGTATACAACAGTGTATTCATTGTCAGTCTTGTATACTGCAGTGTATTCATTGACAGTCTAGGATATTGCAGTGTATTCATTGTCAGTTAAGTATACTACATTGTACTCAATGTGTCAGTCCAATTCACAGTAGTGTATTGACAGTTTTATATACAGTAATGTATTCATTGTAAGTCTTGTATACTGCACTGCATTCAATGTCAGTTCAACTTACAGAAGTGTATTATGAGTCTAGTTTACAGTAGTGTATTCATTGTCAGTCTAGTTTACAGTAGTGTATTTAGTGTGTCAGTCTTTTATACAGTAGTGTATTCATTGTCAGTCTAGTTCACAGTAGTGTATTTAGTGTCAGTCTTTTATACAGTAGTGTATTCATTATCAGTCTTTTATACAGTAGTGTATTCATTGTCAGTCTAGTATATAGTGTACCCAGTGTGTCAGTCTACAATATAGTGTATTCAGTGTCAATGAAGTATACATAAGTGTATTCAGTATGTCAGCTTTGTTTAGAGCAGTGTATTTCAGATCAAATTATTGTTATTGTGGTGTAATATTTGCTGCTGGTTGAAAATCATCCATCTTGTAATCTTTTCCTTGATAAATATCCTTGTATCATATTTTAGTAGTCATTTTAATACTTGTAGGTCTTTGTTGATTTCAGGTTTACTCGATGATCTCAATTCCCACTTTCGTCCTTATTCTTTTAACACAATCACTTCAGCTGTTATGTATTTGTTGATATAAAGTAATTATGTTTTCACAAAAAATGTTAGTAAAAAAAATTATCATATTTTTTACAAAACCAATAAGGAGAGCAAAACATTTCTTACATGGAAGGTTTATTAGTATATACATTAAATTATATTTTCTTTTAAACAGGTATAATTGTGAGGTCCTTCAGCATTTGCCTGATTAAGTGTTTAATCCGACAATGACAATTTTGACAGACTTATCAGTCCACTTCTGTCTGCATTTAAAATTGATGTTTGTCATGAAACCACATAAAATCAATCCTATTAAATGATATTAGATTTTCCTTAGAGGTTGTAAAAATGTCAGCTTTTTACACATTATGAAACTGTCTAAGCTTAGATAGCATAAAGAAGCTATATCATAAGTATAAGTCCTTTTTATTGTGGGTTTTACTTTTACAAAATATGGTATATGGTATAGATGTGCAATGTTTAAATGGTTAACCCCTGGTCTGGCATTTGTGTCTGTAGAATGTCAGAATATCTGAAGCCTAGTTGATCATGTTGTTTTCTTTATTTGAACATCTTTTTTTTCTGAGGAGTGTGGTAGTGGTGTGGTTTATGTATTACCTCAAACATACAAATAGTTGGAAGTATTTTGACTCGTTATATGATTATGTAACTAGTTGTGAAATGTAACACATACAATGCAGCCTACCTTTATCAAATACATTAGTTGGTACATGGATAGTACTAAGATTATAATTAATCATTTCATCGTTATACTTTTTGTCTTGTACTAAATGAATGTATTTGTAAGTTTTCATTGCATTCTCTACGGTCTCATTCATTGCCTGCAGGTCATCATCACTGAGAAGTTTCTTGTTATTGAGGTAGTCAAGCTGAAATTTGGGAGAAAATATCATTATTCAGAGATCATTAAATTAATTGTACAATTAAGATGAGCTGAGAATTTATACATCAATGAACAACCAAAATTATAATTAAACCACAAAAGGCATTTTGTTACATAAAGGACCTGATCTACTGGCCATTGCATTATGTTAGAGCAAAAAAATATGAGCTCATTTTATATTGTTAAGAGCTATGATTGTTAAAAAAAAGTATAAAATGAAACAAAACAGAACTGCAGGCTCCAAATAGTCTGAATTGCTACCATGGCTCTTATGCATAACCCAAAAATTTTGTTTTTATTGTTAACAATGTATAACCATCTATCAATGTTTCCTGGCTGAACATCAGAATCAAGAATGTCTAGGACGGCCTTGTTTTTCTTCCAATTGTAAACAATGAAGTTGGTATGTTAAAAGATCGTAAACTGTCAAATTCATGTTCACTGATTCGAATCAAAATCTCATATTATATTTATAACATACTAAAACGTCTATCCAAATAACAAATAGTCCTAAAGAAACGAATAATGCATGGACTTGTTTTAATTTATTAACATTTCATATGTATTCTAGAATAGACGTCATTTAAATAAACATCAAGATGACTTTCTTAGAATTCTGTAGGTCATATGATCTTATGTAAACATAACTATAAATATAAATACACAGGCAATCGTATAAGAACCATTTTTCTAGGTCTGTTTGATTTCATGTCATTGATTAAAAAAAAAACATGTAAATCATCATTTTACTTGTATTTGAATGGTTTTTTTTTGTGAGCAGAATCAGTTAATGAAAGGGATCTTCACAGTGGCTTCAATTTTCAATGTTGACATTCTTTTCTTTTTAATAACTAAACATGCTTATTCCATGCATGGCCCATCCCAGTTAAAGGTTGAATTGAAGTTCACATGAATTCGGATTCAAAATGAGTTGATTACTGACCTGCAAGCCAATAATACACCATTGATGTTTTTGAGCTTATTTTGAGAAAATTTAACCAAAACTGACAGCTAGAAGCCAAATATTATATCCTAATTCCGCTTTTATAAATGTTTGATGAAAAAAAACCAAAATCATATTTAGATATTTTGCCAACTTCGTAGCTAATGCCCCTTAAAAGACATTTCATAAATCAAAGTTTGATTAAATTTGAAAAAAGTAGTTTAAGAGATGTAAATGTAAAAAGTTCAAGGATGACAGATGCCAAGTGATGGCAATAGCTCACATGGAAAATGATGGTCATAAATCATTTAAATCAATTCTCTTCTATTTTGTATATCATTAGAAATGAACTTCAATTCTACAGCTTTATATGTTTACTTCTAGAACTCACATCAATTGTTTCTTCATAATGGCTTTTGATGTTTTCTTTTTCAGCAACTTCAACCAATTCCTGTAAAAAGTCATATTAATTGAAATTACAGTTTAAGGAACTAGATTAAAGGAGAATGAATAATGGAGGGTCCTATTGTTCATAAAATCAATACAAAAAGTAGTTCAAATTGGTGCATAAACATGTGAAAAAGGTGGAATTTTCTCATGATTTTTTATATACATTTTCTTATGTTGACACATGTGCTTTATGTTTCCAGTTCTTAAAGTCATTGGAAATTAGCCTGATTGTTTGAGTTGGTAGAAAACTAAACTTTTATAAATTATGACATCATCAATATAATATTGAAACTTTATTTTTCAAACATAAAAATCTATTTCCTACCTAGTTTTTGTTTTAACTATAATTAACTTTGAGGATGACCACTGAATCCAAATTTGAAATTTTAGAATGAAATAGGACCATATTGGGGCCTTCAACCAACTCATTTGGTAAATGTTATGTTTTCTTCTAATAAGTTATCTTGTAGAATATTGTTTACAACCTGTTATAAGGTTTTCATTTTAAAGTTATTATTGTACACTTCCTAATACTCTGTTACATTCAATACAACATTTTAATTTCTGTTGACACTTTATACAAAACCTGACAAAATATTATCTTGTGCTTGTTTGTTGGAGTTTGACATATCTATGAAAACAAAGGATATGATGTATCAATTCATGACACAAAAACACTACATACATTTGATATAACCTTGACGGCTGCAAGTCAGAAACCTCTTTAATAGTTTCTTCTGTCATATCTTAATGTTGTTGTGTTATTTTGGTGTTGATAGCTGATCTTTAATAGTTTCTGTTTATTTTTGACTTTCAAGGAGGATTTAGTATTTATTCATGTATTGTTGAAGACGATTTGTTGCCCATAAGCTTTATTTTGTTATTTGAGTTGTTGGGCTACTACCACATAAAAATTTACTTCAAATCATTTTATCATTTATAATTGAATGGTTTTTAGCTTTATTGTTTAAGGTCAGTGGTACTTTCAGAGCACTCCAGCTACCGCCACCAATAAAAACTGACTGCCACAAAATAGCACAATAGTGCTGAAAGTGATGTTACACACCAATCAATCAATCAATCAATTTAGGTGACTGGGCTGCCAGGTGTAAACCTTCGACTGATCATTAAATGATACCAGAAGCAAGAAGAAATTTTTATTAAAGCATTACATTTTGATATTCATCAGTAAATACTGGATTTTTTAATAATATTTCATAAAAATATAAAATGAGGCATATGATTGAAATGATTTAAGAATTTAAAAAAAAATTAGGGCACCCTATACTTTGTGAAAAAAACATCCCAGGAAGTTATTTCAACATTGTGGAACAGACATTTTCTTTCATTTTTTTGACAGGGGCTGTGGCTGAGTAGTATAAGTAGTCTTAAGTATTTCAACTACTGTATCAACCAGCCAGTCAACACTGAGGTTGTGAGTTTGAACCCCACACAGGGCAGGTGCTTTCAACTCCATTCTTAATTGACTATGATTATCAGTTTTCCTAATGAAAGTTGTGGTTCTCTCCGGGCACTTCCTTCACAACGGATCGCCATAAAATAGCCAAATAGTGCTGAAAAAGGGGTTAAAACAGCAAAAATCAACCAATCAATCATTTCTTACCTGTAGTACTGTATAATCAGCACCCATGACTGGCAATTTGAAATTCACATTAAAAACCTGCGGAATCCAACTGAACTTCATGAACATTGTAGTAGATATTTACAACACATGAAAAACAAATGAAGGACACAGTTTGGTCACATTGGATGAGTTGGTGCCAAATTTGAGACTGATGGAAGGAGTTTGTCAATGGCCATGGATCACCAGCTAAAGCAAGTAATTACTGTTAGTATCTCAAACAAAATCTCATCAAGATAGCTATACAGTACAGAATACTGACCCTGAAAATAAGGTCAATGATTTGATTGATTGATTGTTGCTTTCTTAATCTCCAGTGTAAGATATTTCATGCATATTCAGGACGAGATCAAATCAACAATTAATACAATAGGTATATTCAGCAAGGTAGTTAGATAGGGATGAAGGGTCTGAAATTTGGTCTGGAAAAATAAGGGTTTGTTGGATAGGTGCGGAAATTTTGCCATGCAACATGCCACCTACTGACTGCTCAGAAAATGGCTGTAATGGTACTGTCATATGCAGAGATTTTTACACTCTCCATACAAAAGGCATTGGACAAAACATCCAAATTCTGACAGGACAAAGCTGTATACAGTCAAAATGACACTCCACTTTGCAGTTTGGAAAGGGTTTTACTGCCGGATAGGGACATACCTCAGTCAAACCTTAAGGTGTAAGGTTGAGGACATGAGATATATGCCATAAAGACACTTTAGACCTTCAGCCAGAAAGACACTTTAGACCTTCAGCCAGAAAGACACTTTAGACCTTCAGCCAGAAAGACACTTTAGACCTTCAGCCAAAAAGACACTTTAGACCTTCAGCCAAAAAGACACTTTAGACCTTCGGCCAGAAAGACACTTTAGATCTTCGGCCAGAAAGACACTTTAGACCTTTGGCCAGAAAGACACTTTAGACCTTTGGCCAGAAAGACACTTTAGACCTTCAGCCAGAAAGACACTTTAGACATTAAGGCATCTGTAAAAAAGATACTGATTATCTTGTCTATCTTGTGAAATATAAAGCTTAATACAAATAGTTTAGGTCATTATTTATTCATGACATGTAGACAGCAGGATTTTGTTTAAATTTTAGGATTTATATATACCAACCTCAACTGCCTTAATCTTTTTCTTTAACATTCTACCAATATCATTAGCTATCTCATTTACTAGGGATCTACCATCCAGCTTGATAAAATGTTGAAAATATTTATCATATTTCTGAAGAAAAAAATTATGATAAATTGTATGATAGTACTTGACCTACAAATAAAAACATTATGGATCACTAAAAAAGTTAGTACTCATGAAAACTGACCAACACTTTATAGATCTAGGCAACAATGAAAATCAGGTCAATTCCATAAGGTATCTATAAATAAAATTACATTTTTCATATAATGTTTTATGAAAAAAAATCATGCTATACAAGATAACACATAATAAACAAATGGGATTCACAAACAAGCAACATTGCTTGTCTTTATTTTCTATTGATGTTCTTGTCACCATTGCCGTGTCCAAATAGTGTTTTTATATCTTGCCTTAAACAGATCGAAATATAAAAAACGAACTATAAGTCTACATAGGTTAAACATTAATGATTACTGAATAACATGAAATAAATGGAAGAAAACCGTGTTAATGTCTCAAAATTCTCAAAGTTTATATAGATTTCTCAATTCCAATTTCATTCACATGACTATAACCGCTTAAATACTTATAAAAATAACGGTTTCAATTCTTAGACCTGAACTAAAAGGAGAAATAACAACCTATTCCAGACCTATACTTAATACTAGATTCTGTAAAACTATCTGGGGTTAATGATCCTAATCTAATTTACAAGGAAGTTTGATAATATCAACGATGTTCCCATCTTTATCCCATACTATTTCTCTTACTCTGATTACAGTAATTTACTAAGTAAGATATTTCCTAATACTGTAGTAATGGATGTCAAAGCCAGATTAATTTACCAAATAAATTATATTACCGATTATTTCCAAACATAGTAATACAATCACGAGACTACTACCGATAATATTTTTCCATTATACAAGTAAAGATATTTTAAACAATGCATTCTGTATATACATTACCATCAATTTTTATAATCTGTGTCGAGAAATTAATTTCCCTTTGTCAATCAACTGTCCGATGTTTACAAGATTATCAAATAAACAGTACATCCACAACCTTACAATCTTTCCTTTACACATTTAAACCTATGAATCTAGGTAGAGCTCAAACAGCAAAGCTGTCAGAACTTGTCATGATGTTTCAGAACAGCCTAAGATTTAAGTAATTGTATATCTTTTCAAACTGACAAGGTTTAAGATAATGATGACGTGACTTATCACAGATTTTAACAGAACATGGTAAAAAATCTGTCAATATTTCATCTTTCATGACATCTTTCAAATCTAGGTCCAATTGTGACAAGAATAGCTCAAACCCATAATTCTGATCTAACTTCAATTTTTTTTGTCTCATATCACATTCATTGTGTTTTTTCTGAATGCTGCGGATTAATGTGGTATTTCTATATCAAGAAAAATTCAGTATTTCAAAATACACAGTATATTGAAATGCAATGTATCCTTGTGATTGCATTAATCTTATCAACAGCATATTAAGTTACCTAATATACGGTCATAAATATGAGAATGAGTTTGTTCTTAGCAAAGTTTGTAAAAGTAAATATTAACTAATGAGAGGTTTGGGTTTCCCAGTTGCTGCTGTTGACATCTCGTTCCCTTATTGTTTAGCGAGATTTAGGAAGGGAACTAATCACAGCAGGGCACTCATTTCAAAACATCCAATCAGTTGGTTAATTAATCTATCATCGTTCCTTTGCCTCATTTAATATGTGTCTTAAATAGGTATTCAAGATAATACAGTTGCATGAAGCAGACACATTTTATTTTGACAGTCCAAACCTCACCCACCCTGTTATTTTTTTTATTTAATGGGAATATTAATTGTTATATTTGTATCAATTTATTTTGTGTATATACATATGTTTGTAGAGTAGTTTGTCTTGCAAGAACACACAACAAAGAAAGACATTCAATCCCTGAAAATCTTTTCTGTTTTACTGTAAAGATTTTCAGGGATTGGATGTCTTTCTTTGTTGGTCAGATTTATCTTAAATGCCACTTAAAATGGTAAAAATTATACAGATTTAGTGAACTTTAATCCCTAAAACCCCCTTTCTATATTCTCGACATTGAACAAACTTTAAAGCTTTTAAAGAAGTCAAATCCCATGCATCAACTTGACCTGCATGCTTATTGAATTTATTGACTTAAATTGAAGTAATATATATGTTGTTAAAGAAAAAGTTCATATAAAACCTTTAATCAAAGCATCAAATGTACATCTATCTAATAATTATTGAGATATTGATAAATTACCATTTAACTTTCAAACATAGGTTAGAAAGAGAACAAAAGAATATGCTAAAATCAATTTCTCTGTCAGATAAAAGTACAAGCCGACTGGAAATTGACTATTGCCTCTACCTTGCCAATAGAGTCATTTTTCTTCTATATAATTAGACCTAAATAACGTAAATAACAGCTTTCAACATGTTCAAGATTAATTTCCTCTCCAATTTGATCCCAGCATATATTAATGAGGAAAATCCACTAAAGCAATCGAATTAAAATCTTTAATCAAATAAATGCAGTCCTAGACATGACATCTTGTGAAAACATTTTGAATTGTTGTCTTTCAATTGACAGAATTAAATTTAGGATGAACTTCTTTTTTACATGAATATAATATTGAACAGGACAAATATAACTGTATGATGCCTTGGCTCATTAACTTCATGGTGCATCAAGTATATCTTAAAAGATAGATTTGAAAAAAAACACAAAATCAAAAGAAAGTCATTCATATGTTTCAACAATATGAAAACTATAAATACAAGAGTGCATAAAATGAATGTTTTTTTAATCTTAACTGACTTAATAATTAATAATGATTGAATTTTAATAAAAAATTATATTATCTTATTCTTACTGCAGGTATCACATAAACTTTACATTAAACATGATCCCTGAAAATGAGATCGAGGTCATAGGAATCAGGATGGACATGAACATCTTATAATCATTCCATTGTGAAGAGCTACAGTTTGTCAGGATTTAAATATAGGGAATAATACAAATGTAGTGCCAAACCCTCTTTGCAATTTTTTCACTTTATCTTATTCCTGATTCTGATTTAGAGATCAAATTTACACATGGGGATATTTTCACAGTTTTTAATAATCTTAATTGATTATTAGTTAGTATAATCAAATCTCTCACAAAAAATTCTAAGTTTACACAGTAATCTATCTTTTTCTTATAGTATCTAAGAAACTTGACATTAATTGACCAATGAAAGAAAAAAATGAGGTCAAGGTCAGATGAACCTTGTCAGTCAGACATATCCACTTTACAATCATTCAATACACCAAATATAGTTTACTTATTACTTTTTATTTTAAGTATTTCAGAAATGAACCTAATCAAGAAAATTTATAATTGATCACTGAACAATAATATAAAGTCAAGGTCAGGTGAATGTTTACCCTGCAATGATTCTATTGTATACACAAGTTGGCGCCACTAATGATACCCAGCTTTAAGTATTTGATAAAGAGGATGTTGAAGAGCAATGAATGGGAAAACAAATAAAAATAAGATGATTTGGTATGATTTCCAAAGAGAAAACTCTCCAACAGAGACCAAATGCTTATGTAAATGTTCATACCAAAGTCAGGGTGCTCTGATAAGTAGTGCCTCAAGAAATGTGAAGAAAATTTCGTAAATGGTCATCATGTGTAACTGTAAGAGTAAATAAAGAGAGGCGAAAGATACCAAAGGAACAATCAAACTCATTAGTCGAAAATAAACTGACAACAATATACAAGTATTCAGTAAACAGGAAATTGATAAGCACAGAATAAGAAAATGCATCATACAGTAGAGCATGCTTGCATAATGCTTCATACCAATTTTCATGAAGCTCCGATTAGTAGATCCTAAGAATAATTAATTCATGGGATGGACAGACAGACAAACAGGAGAAAGACAGTATACCCACTTTTTGTCATAGGGATATGAAAATAGTGGTACTATCACTTATATCATCTGATAACTAGACCCAATCATGAAAACTTAACTTGTCCAATGAACAATAAAAATATGGTCAATAACATTGCAAGATCATTGGTAAGAAAAAATGGCATTAATAGAAGAATAATCAAATGGACTGGAAAACATTTTCAATTAAAAAAGTGGATGTGTGTTGTTCTTCATTATAAAATCACACTGTGGCATTTAACAGGAAGCAATTAAGCTTGCAACTCACTTCAAGTGCAAGACAGACTCTAGCAGTGATTTGAGTGGAATTCTTTTAAGGCCCTTTTTCTTTCATTTACCTAGGATAAGGTTATTATATATATATAGAAGAGAAATTATTTTCTGCAGAAAACCTCCAGGTAATACTGTAATGCTGTCCACCCCCCTTTTTGAACATAACTTGCTGTGTTGTTATTAAGTACAAATAATAATATGGGGTAGATGTCTGTGAGATGATATGCTATGTAAATGAGTCTATTTGATATGATGATTGTCATGTTGGGAAATAAGGTGTTTCTTTTGGTACAAAATCAGTGTTGGTCAGACAAAGTCTGAAAACTTTATATGCCTGTGGTCATTCCTAAATTTGGAATAACTGTTTGAATTGATAAAATAATAGTTTGTCACTTAAATATATATTATCCTGGTTAGTTATAGGAATAATGAGTTAATTCTATTGTGTTTCAAGTGATGTTATGACTGGAATTTACTCATGGTGACAAATTTGCAAGTTTGTCCCTGGAGTGCCGGTACCTATATTTCTGTTGTTTTAATTGAGATATTAACCTTTTTACATGTGTTTTTAAGTTTTCCTGTATGTGTAAAAACCTTCATGATGAATAAATATGTAGGTTCTAAGATATTAAGATATTAAGCTAGAAATCATCTTTATTACACAAAACGTCCAGTGTTTACATTTTGAGTTGTCATTTCTGGAATTTCACTAAACAGAAACATGGCGGCTGATTGGTTTGACATACGTAAAAGTATCTGTGATTGGCTCATCGGCGAATAAAACTGAAAAGATCAACTACGGAGGGCAGTGATTGTTTGAAAGTTATGAAGCGCCAAATTTAAAAT